AAAAAAAAAAAAAAAAAAAAAAAAATTGAAATGTTTGTCTCAGTACTAATCATTTACTATTTTAAAATTAAGCTCTTCTGCTTTTGTCATAGCCAAGCCTACAAATAGATTAATGTACTTTCACAAGTGTGTATAATTTCTGAATATTTCTCATCTTAAGTGGATTCTGGTTCACTAAATGTTTTTTAGACACCTGTAATTCAGTATGTGATCCTAAGCTTACAGGTGGTTGGGCCCTTAATAGATAACTAAAGTCTTGGGTTCATGAATTTCTTTCCAGGCGTGACTCCCTCTTTTCTTTGGCCAGAGCACATGTACCAGCTTGGATTCCTACTGTTACCTGCAATATGGAAGATCAATAAATATATAAATAAATTATTTTTTCCCTTACATTTCTAAGTAAGAAATGTATTTCTTTTTGGCAAGTTGTTTCTGACTTTATATAACCCACTAATAGCTCATTAAATGAAAAGGTATTTGAGTTAAGTTTGTTGAAATTTCCAAAGTCTTAACATTTCTTACTTAACCTTTGTACCAGCCCTGCTGGTACAGCAGTTAGCATGCAGATTGCTGAGATTAAGAGACGACATAATTAAATGAATGCTTACTTCTTTGGAAATGATTACAAAGTAAGAGAGAATTCTTATATCTGCTTATGGTTCTCTGGCCTTATGTTCCTATGCAGTAACTGTATCAGGGAAGAGCAGTTTGATAGTTACACTTACTTACATTGTAATAAGTAAATTTGTTTGGTGGAAGTTTCACCTTCATCTGAGGGAAAATGTCTCAACCTAGGATGAAAAAAGAAGTTTAACAGGAGCAAAATCTGAAAACAGAATTTATTAAATACATTTGGTGAAAAGTTTGCCTTGGGATTTATACATGAAAAGGCAAATAATATTTGTAAGTTTTGCTTTTTCTGTTCTGTAGTGACATTCTTGAGCAAAAATATGTACTTTAACTATAATTATTCTCCTCTGATGTCCACAAATCTTTATTGTTCCTGAGCATAACAAATACATATGCCACATTTAAGTATTGAAAGTAGCTGCTGTGCATTGTAGATGTGCATCTCTATGTTTTGACTTTGAAATTTCTTTTTTTTTTTTTCTTTGGAGAGGTTTTTGCTATAGGGCACATGCGTTCGCCAGAAAGACAGAGACAGAGAGACAGAAAGCAAGAAATCACCCCCGAAGGGGATGGCCATGCTGCAATCCCTTCTCCATTCTCTCGGTATCTTGTGCACGCTCACACAACGCGCCTGGTGTGAGTTTAAGCCGCCAGATTTGGGACTTGAACTGCGGTCGACTACATGGGAGTTCAGCAACAAAGCCATCACACCATCTGTTGGTCCTTCTATGTTTTGACTTTGAAAGGCAATCTGTTTACTTTAAGATCTACTGTGACTGCTGGGACCAGCAGTCGGCGTAATGGCTGTTGCTGGACTCCCATATAGTTGACTGCTGTTTGAGTCCCGGACCTGGTGGCTTTAAACTCACGCTGGGTGCATGTGCATGCATGTCCAAGATCCCAAGAGGAGAATTTAGGTAAAGGGATTGTAGCGTGGCCATCCCCCCGGGGGTGATTTTTTGCTTTCTGTCTCTCTGTCTCTCTGTCTCTCTTTCTGTCTGGAGAGCGCACACACCTATACAAAAACCTCTCAAAAAAAAAAAAAAAAAAAGATCTGCTGTGACTGCATAATCTGTTATCTGTTAGTTTGTCGGGAAAGTCATGAGGCGTTTCTATGTTTTTCTGTGCAAAAATGTGTCATGACTTTCCTGACAACCCAAAACATATTTGCATAGATGCTCACATTAAGGACATTTATATCCAAACCAGATGTTTTTGTGACCTCTTATGGGAAAAATAAAGGAAGTATTTTGTAAAAATAGAAAGGAAAGTGATCATTCAGAATATAATTTTTGGATTTTGGTCGAATAAGATCCATAATTTTCATTCACAATAGAATCTGTAATTGAAACACATTTCAAAGATTTACGCTTTCTCAGAGTTCTTTCTGATTTATGCATGTGCTTCAGGCAAAATGCATGTATTCTGTAACTTGAGAGTTGGCATGCTATCAAAGGAAAAAGTAAAATTCATAATTAAACTATTAAAGTAACACAGAAATCTATCTAGCATATTTCAGTACTTCCAGAAACACTTTTCTCTGAAATTTCCTTGAAATTAGTGATGTTTCTTACTTTAGTATATTGTAGTTGATAGTGGTTTTTCATTTCTTTTGGTACATAAAATAATGATGCATCTTACAATTAATTTATAATGTGAACGCTTTGTGTGTATGTGGGTGATAAGAGTAGGTTAACTAAGTTGCCCAATGTGTGTATTTGCAAGACAAATATTTTTTCCTTATGTTTTTATATTTTGGAAAATAGTTTTTCATAACTTGATAATAAATATTAACATTTTAACAGATTTTTATTAAATTTTATTAGATTGATTATATAAGAATAAATGTTTCAAAACCAGTTGCCATTGCTTCTTAAGCTTAATAATGTTTAATGCTTACTAGTAAACATTTCTACTGATCCCACACATTTGGTTTTTATAAACTATATTTGTTTATCTTTTTAAAACAGATTTAAAAAGTTGGATAGCTATTCTACTGAACCTGATGTTTGATTCTTACAAAGTGATGCCATTTTTTTTTTTTAGAGTCTTACATTTAAAGAAAAAGTAACAAGCCTTAAATTTAAAGAAAAACCTACAGACTTGGAGACAAGAAGCTATAAGTATCTTCTCTTGTCCATGGTGAAACTAATTCATGCAGATCCAAAGCTTTTGCTTTGTGTAAGTATTTTTTTCTTAAATGCCTTGACATTTTTATACTAACTTTATTTGCTTTTATTAAAATGCCTTTGGGACCAGCAGGTGGCATGGAGGTTTTAAGGCAGCTGGATCACATATGGCTGGCTGACTGCGTAGTTTGAGTCCCAGATCAAGTGACTTGGAAATCACGGTGGGCACATTTGCGTGTGTACCCAAAATCCTGGGAAGAGATTAGAGGAGAAGGGATTGCAGTGTATTTGTCCACTCTGGGGTGGGTGATTCTTCACTTTTTCTCTTTCTGTCTCTGGTGAGCGTATATGCCCTCTAGCAAACTTTAAAAAAAAAAAAAAAAAAAGAAGGCTTTGAAGGTAGTTGTTAGTTAAAGAAGACTTACTAATCCTTTCTAATCATTCCTGAAACCCAAGACATCCCTAAAAAAACTTATAGAGAATACTGATACAATTAGATCAGTTCTTATTTTTTCTTGAGATTTTTGCTATAGGGTGCATGTGTTCGCCAAAGAGAGAGAGAGCGAACGAGAAACATGCCCCAGGGGGTTGGCCACTCTGCACTCCTTCTCCGCTAGCCTTCTCGCAGGGTTTTGGGCATGCACTCACATACACCTCGCGCGAGTTTTTAGACCGTCAGGTCTGGTCCTCGAACTGCAGGCGACTGCATAGAGTCCAGCAACATAACCATTATGCCATCTGCTGGTCCCTAGGTAAGATCCTTAACCTTTCTTCTTAATTTCTCTTATCATTAGATTACCATACTTTGGTAAGATTTTCTGTCCTCACCCTGTTATGTATACATCACTAGGTTATATATATGTATCACTCCAGCATAATCCCGGGATGAGGGTAGAGGTCATGAAGCAATAATAAATCACAGTATTTTCTACATCGAGACCATTTTTCTTTTCTTTTTTTTTATATTTTTTTATTTCTTTTTTTTTATACATTCAGTTATCTTTTTTAGCTTACAAAGTAAATATTTCACTATGTGGACATTTCTCCCTAGTTCAGTTGGTTAAACTATAAAATATCTTCAACAGATAATACCACATTTCTTTGTCCCATTAATGCTTTACCTCCCTATTTTTTTTCTAAATGTCCTTTCTCAGGCCCTACTCTTCCACACACATGATATCTGGTATTTACACCCATTTACTGTGTTTGTATATCCTTTAGTCAATCAGTTTCAGTCATAGAGTGCGGACATTTGGTATATATTAAGAGACCATTTTTCTTTATAAATCACATTTACTATTGTCAAATAACTTAGCTTTTCCCTCCTCCATCTTCCTATCATCAGCTTTCTATTTTCAGTGACTGCCTACAAATACTGTTTTGGAAGGAGAAGGAGGGGGAAAATGGGTGCAGCTAGTTCTAGTTATAGTCAGGACCCTGTTCTTACCACAGTCTAGGCCAGCTGAGGCTAGGGGTGGATCATGATGTGATGACCTTGAAAAAAGGAAAGAGTATTTAGGAACTGATGTAAATGAGTGGTAATTACATGAAGTGATTAAAAGCATAGACCCTGAAAACATACCTCTTACTATACGATGTGGGTGACTTCGTTTTTTCCATCTGAACTATTACGATATAATAATAGTTCCTGTCTCAGACAGATTGTAACAAAGCTTGAAATACTGGGTTCTCAGAAAAGTCATGATGCATTTTTGCATAGAAAACCAGAAAAATGCATCATGATGTTTCTGACGACCCAACAGTACATGTAGGGGCCAGCAGGTGGCATGGCCTTTAAGGACTGGACTCCCATATGGCTGACTGTGGTTTGCATCCTGGACCTGGAGGCTTCCTTTCTCAATTCACTTCTCTTTCTCTCTCTTTGGTGAGCGCACGTGCCCTATAGCAAATTAAAAATAATAAAATCAGGTAAATAATTATTCAAAAAGTAGTATGTGAAGTACTTTTAGGAACAATACCTGGCACATAATAACCACTAAATAAATGGTAGCTATTGTTGCTATTAATGATATAGTCAACATCATATTAGTATAATTAATCTCTGAAAATGTAACAGTCTAAATTTTGTAGTTCATGCGATAACATGTTTACTTTGTTGAGTTTTCCCAGTCTCTGGAGAAGCAGCATCAAACGGTTTCTTACTGTTTTGTGTAGTAACAGGTTTTTTTTTTAAGTGTTAAGGCACTTTCAACTTTGATGGTATATTTTTTACATTAATATAGGGTTCAATAACTAGCTATCCATGGTTTCAAGAGTTCTGTGAACCACCTGAACTTTTAAAAATGTGTATATATGAGTAATTTTTCTGGAGAGAATAGACACAGAGAAAAAATTTCCAAAAGGATCAGTTATCCAAAAGATTACCTATTTTGAACTCATTGAAAAACCCGTCCAAATTCGGAAGTCTAATAGAATGAGTAGATCTTTGGCATGGAAAAGTTAATAGTTTGTCAATGAGACTTTTATTTGAAGTAATGAAATGTCGCCTTTCTCCTCATTTCTTTGTTATATAGCACAAGTTACTTGTGGTATTATTTCATCACGCATGTCACATAATGTTAACATCACTCTGCTTACATGACTGATTCACGGTCAAAGAGTGTATCAAAGTCATTGGCATCTCATTAAATATGCAAGCAGTTTTCAGAAAGTTCACGCAAAATGCATATTATGAGAAAATTGTTCATGAATTTCTGAATTTTTGGCACCAAATAAACTCGTCCTTTAATTCTGTTTTTTCCGTGAATTTTCTGACATCACTCCTGTTTGAAGAACGAGAGTTTAAGCAAAACTTCCTATTTTTCAAGGATCCTTTAAAATGGGAATTATTTTCTTTGCTGCCATCTAGTGGAGAGATAATTTATCTGAAAGTTATTGCAGCTTAGGTTCCACATAGCAATTTCAGTTGGTTATTTCATATTTTATGTGTGAAAATTCTAAGTAAGAGGAATATAGAAATAATTATTACATGATTTCAGTCATGGTGTTTTAAAGTGATATGGTTTTATTGTCTTCCATCTCTACCATTTCTCTCCTAATCCATATTACTCTCAATTCTTCAAGCCTTCTGATTGCTCAGTTTGTATATTTTTTTATATTCTCCCAATCATTTCTCTCCACTGAATTTATAGTGACCTTTTTAAAGAGCAACTCTCCTCATGCCCCCTTCCCAGCTTAAAACCTTTTAGTTGACGTTGCTCTTGAAATAAAGACCAAACTCCAAATAGACATACAGGTTATTCAAAATCGTTCTCCCACCTACCACTTCTACATACAGGATGACATTTTTGTCTTCGTCTTCTCTACTCTAGCCATGATAGCCTTTCTTTCGGTTCCTCTTACCATATCTCCTCAGACCTGCTCTTGCACTTGGTTATCCTCTGCCTGCTTTGCTTCCCCTCTCCTCTTCATGCTGTAGTTTCTGTTAGTTCTCAGCTATTATTACTGCCCTAAGGAAGCTTTTTTGACTCGGCCACATTTTCCTGTCATAGGATCTCATAGAAGCATGTACTTTTCGCTCATAGCTCATTTCCAGTTTCATACTTGAGGATTATTTTATTGATGTTTGTCTTCCCTATGAGGAGGAGAAAAAGACCTATAGAACAGAAAACGTATCTTCTTTTTTTATTCTTGCGTCTTGTGTTCAGTGAATGTTATTGAGTTGTAAACAGATGAATATACATGTCAGAAAATAGGCCAGCAGCTGTTAATTACAGATGTACTTGGGTGAGGGCTTACATTAGTCAGTATGACAGAGATTATATTAGCAAAATAAATATGGACACAGTTGCAGTGGCCTTCTTTAAATGAACCATATATTCTTAAAGTGTAAATGGATGTTTCTAAGTTATGAGAAGCAGTTTACTCTAAATAGGCAGGCATCCTGGGCTGGCTCTATGGTCTGGTAGTTATGGCAGCTGGATCCCTTGTGACCAACTGCATGGTTCAAATCCTGACCCTTGCAGCTTGAAAAACAGGCCAGGCATGTGTGTGTGCAAACGCACCCAATATCCTGATGGTGGGAAAATGGGGGAGAAGGGGTTGTGGTGTGACTATGCCCCATTGGGGGGTGCTTTCTCTGTCAAGTAATAGTAACAATAAAAAAGGTAGACATTCACATTTATGTACGCTATTTAATTTTCTTTGCTTAGTACACAATGAAAAGAACTGAAGTAGGGTATCTGAGATGTAGATTTAATCCCTCGTGACAGTCCTCTTCCAACATGTGTATTCTTTGCTTCTGACCACCATCTTCCATAAGCTCAAGACCAGTACGTTCCAAACCAGAGGTATATTTTTTAGCCAGTATAGTGTTGTTGAAAAAAATATTATCTTAACCCTCATATTATTGGTATAATTTCTTAACTGAAAAGCTAATTCCTGATTTTTATCTTAATTCAGATTTTCCCTGGACATTATTCACGCTAATGTACAAGTGTAGATGTGAATGAAGAGGATCCTTAACAAGTCTCGATTTAAAGAAATTATTATTGTTGAGATATAATTCACATACCATAAAATTTACCATTTTAAAGTGTACCACTTGGTGGTTCCTAATAGATTCACGAGGCTCTGCAACCAGTACTATGATCTAATTCTAGAATATTTTCATCATTCCTGAAAGAAACTTAGTATCATTAGCAGTTGCTCTACATTTTCTCCTTCCTCTAATCCCTGTCAATGTTTTTTTTTTTTAATTGCAACTTTTTTTTTTTTTTTTTAAATTGTAGAATCCAAGAAAACAAGGGCCTGAGACCCAAGGAAGTACAGCAGAGTTAATTACAGGCCTTGTACAACTGGTCCCTCAGTCACATATGCCAGAAATTGCCCAGGAAGCCATGGAGGTAAGGGGAAACGAACTGTGGGCTCTTAGGAACGACTGTAACTCTGTACTTGCTTGCCGCTCTTTTGGGGTATGATTTCTGTGTGTGATAGATACATATCATTTATGGAAATGGTGTACTTACTATTGGTATAATTTCTTAACTGAAAAGCTAATTCCTGATTTTTATCTTAATTCAGATTTTCCCTGGACATTATTCACGCTAATGTACAAGTGTAGATGTGAATGAGAGGATCCTTAACAAGTCTCGATTTAAAGAAATTATTATTGTTGAGATATAATTCACATACCATAAAATTTACCATTTTAAAGTGTACCACTTGGTGGTTCCTAATAGATTCACGAGGCTCTGCAACCAGTACTATGATCTAATTCTAGAATATTTTCATCATTCCTGAAAGAAACTTAGTATCATTAGCAGTTGCTCTACATTTTCTCCTTCCTCTAATCCCTGTCAATGTTTTTTTTTTTTAATTGCAACTTTTTTTTTTTTTTTTTTAATTGTAGAATCCAAGAAAACAAGGGCCTGAGACCCAAGGAAGTACAGCAGAGTTAATTACAGGCCTTGTACAACTGGTCCCTCAGTCACATATGCCAGAAATTGCCCAGGAAGCCATGGAGGTAAGGGGAAACGAACTGTGGGCTCTTAGGAACGACTGTAACTCTGTACTTGCTTGCCGCTCTTTTGGGGTATGATTTCTGTGTGTGATAGATACATATCATTTATGGAAATGGTGTACTTACGTGTAGACATTGTTTTATGAAACTCCATGGAGAGATTGACTTGCTTTACATCACTTGAAGCAACAACATTGTGCAAATTCTTACGCTTAATAAAAAAGTTCAAAATTTTCTAATTGCCATTGACTTTTTTGAACTTTCAAATATGTATTGATTTTTAAATTGAGACATAATTCATATACCATAAAGTTCACCACTTTAAAGTACACATTTCAGTAGCTTTTAATATAGTTACATGGCTGTGCAGTCATCACCAACATCAAATTCCAGAACGCTTTGCACCCCAAAAAGAAACTCCATTACTCTCTATTCTCCCATTCCCTTTTCCCCTGGTATCCACTCACCTATTTTCTGTCCCTATGGATTCACTTATTTTAGCTATTTCACATATTATGCAATATGTGATCTTTTGTATCTGGTTAGTTAGCCTAATGTTTTCAAAGTTCATCCATGTTGGGGCATGAATCAGTGCTTTTTTTTATTGTCAAGTATTGCATTGTATGGATAAAAGTTTTGTTATTTACAGTATTATTCACTTGTTGATTATATTTTTGCTGTTATGAATAACTATAGTGTACACTTATGTTAAGTTTTTATATGGACATATCACTTAGGTGTAAACTTAGGAGTAGGATTACTGGGCCATGTGGTAACTGTGTTGAACTTTTGAGGAACTGCCAAACTGTTTACCAAAGTGACTACTTTATTTAGCATTATTCCCCCTAGGAGTGGGTAAGGGTTCTAGTACCTGCATCATTGTCAACACTCGTTCTTGTCTGTCCTTTTAATTATAGCTGTCCGAGTGGGCATGACTGCAGCTGGTTTCTTAAACGTTATTTTCATATTGATTACTTGGTAAATAAGATTTTAATTTAAATCAGTTTTATTGAAATATAATTTACATATGATAAAGTCATATTTGATTTAGAATGTTTGTAATCATCATAGAAAGTTCCCTTGTCCCTTTGCAGTTCATGTCCCCAACCCCATCCAGATAACCACTGCTCTGATTTCTGTCACTCTGGATGATTTTGTCAGTAGAAGTTTATATGAAAAGAATCCCAGAGAACGTATTTTTATTTGCCTTACTTTGACTTAGCAGGTTCTCGAGATTCATTCATGTGTTGCATGTGTTAATTTCTTTTTTGTTGTTGGTAGGTATTCCTTTGATTGTTGCACCAGTTTATTGATTTGGTAATTGACCCATAGGTGAATATAGATGTTACTGCTGGAAGTTGTCTGTAATCGTTTGCTGTCTCTCTCTCCCTACATTACTCACCACCCTTCTTACTGCTTGCCTGCCCTTTACCTCCCTTGCATTACAGATTAGTTTGCATTTTATATAAGCGGAATCACAAACTACATACTTTTTGTCTTATTTTCTTTACCTCAGCATAGTTGTGACATCTATGTTGTTGTGTGTGTCAGCAGTTCATTCCTTTTTAAAAGTTCATTTTCTCCCCAGTTTTTCCTCTAGGGCATGTGTACTTGATAGAGACAGAGAATGAGAGAGAAAGTGAGAAATCACCCCCTGGCCATGCCACAATTCCCTCTCCTCCTCTTGGGACCTCGGGCATGCATGCAAAAGCTCATCCTTTTTTATACTGTATAGTGTTTCATTGTGTGAACATAGCACAGTTTGTTTATCCATTTACGTATTGCTGGATATTTGTGTTATTTCCAGATTTTAGGTTTTTTTTGGGGGGATTAGGGGAGCTAATACAAATAAAGTATCTAGGAACATAGATGTAAAAATCTATGTGTGAACAATATGCTTTCATTTCTCTTGAATAAATACTCAAGAGTGCAAATAATCTTACTGTATTGTCTTCACAAGAGATAGAAATTGAACCTAAGGACATTGGAAGATAAACAGTGCAGGGTAGAAGTGTATGTCATACAAACACTGGCCCAAAAACACTAGCGCTGGCAAAATACATAGATACAGACTTGAAAACAAGATGGGTTACTGGAGATGAAGAAGGATGTCATCTTTTTATGAAGGGATCCCATCCATCTAGAAAAGAAAACTCAAGCCTTATATGAACCTCACAAAGCTTCAGAATATTTAAAGCAAAAATATATAAAGCTTCAAAGTGTATTAAACATATACAAAGTAAAAAGAGCTATATACCAATCCAGTTACAGTATTTGAGCATACATTTCTCAGAATCTGATGGAACCAATAAAAAAGGTTAAGAATGGGAGATTTGAGCAACGTGATTATCGAATTTGACCTTTTGACATACATAGAGTGCTACACTCAGGTATACATGGGATTGTCTTTTCAAGTGTACCTGGAACATTCACTGTATCCTAAACATGAAACAAGACTCAATAAGTTCCAAAGGATTGAATCATTCAGTATGTTTTTGCAACCATAGTGGACTTATGCTAGAAATCAGTCAAAAAAATTTTTTAAATTTCTTTTTGTCCTTCTTTCATGAGAGGGAGGGGGCAGTGGGAGGCATCCCCAACCAGGTCCAGTGACACTACAGTCTCTACATCCCACCTCCCAACCTTTGAACCAGCTGAGATCTAGAAGTAACTATGGGAGTATTTGAAATAAAAAAGTATAGATCTGATTGTTAACTGTTTTATAATGTTTGGAGTTACCAGGTGGTCCAAGGTTAGAGATTTACATATCTTTTCATAATGTGAGACAGTTTTTCAGTGAGCTATTTTCAGTTCATGTGTTTGATTTGATTTTATTTTTTTAAAGAGAATTCAGTTCTCATCATTTGTTCCGTGTTTCATTGGAGTTTTAACAAAAGGCTTTAAACAGGGTGTAAAGAGGAACCAGCAGGTGTCTTGGTGGTTAAGGCACTGGACTTGCACATGGCGGGCTGCAGTTTGAGTCCCAAACCTGGTGACTTGAAAATCATGCCAGGTCTGTGTGCATGCTCAAAATCCCAAGAGCAGAATGGAGGAGAAAGGATTGTGGCATAGTCATCCCCCCTGGGGGATGATTTCTCACTTTCCCTCCCACTGTCTCATTCTCCGGTCCATGCCTTATGGCAAAAACCTGAAGTGGTGTAAAGAATCACCAAATATATTGACCAAGAACTGAAATAAATGTGCAGAGCTTAATAGCATTTGTTGGGCCATGTGTGTAGCTGTGAGTTGTGGTGGTAGTAAATATTGTGGAACTGGAGTTAAGGTAGGGTTTATTTGAAGAGTCTTTTTTTAAAAAAAAAAAAAACTCTATGCTTTTGATGGTTTAAGTCTATGTGATAATGGTGTATTTATATGTTATACATTTAAAATGATTTAATTTCTGTTTATGTTCTGTGAGCAAATTTCCAGGTTCAGTTCTGTAGTCAGTTGAAATACCTGAAGATAAATTAGCTGCTTTGAAATGCAAAGTGTGTTTTGTTTTCTTTTCTCTCATATTTGAAAAGTAATTTATTTTTTTCTGTTATAAAAGAAATTGTGGCAAGCCAGAAAATTTCCACATTTCTTTTTGTTGTGTATTCATTTTGCTATCTGTTAATTTTGGAGAGCCCTCTTTATTTGGGGATTGATTTTTTTGTTCCATAGAGTTCTCTAATATTTGTTAAAATCGTATTTTTAAACCAGATTTTACATGCACATATTGTTCTGAATTCATCAGTTATCTCACTTTATATATGTACATGCTGTTGAGAGTAGCTGGTAGGAATAAAGTGATTTCCTTCTGTATATATTGTACCCTACAGGTTTGTGTTTTCCCAAGTTTTTCTCTTTTGCTTTTTACTGTACATTGAGACCATAATTAATTAAATAGCTCTACTTGTTAGCACTTGTAAAATAAGTAATTCAGTATTACTATTTACCGAGAATGTTTTGAATGAGTCTTTTTCTTTCTTTCTCTTTCTCTTTTTTAAAACTTTAGGCTCTGCTGGTTCTTCATCAGTTAGATAGCATTGACTTGTGGAATCCTGATGCTCCTGTAGAAACATTTTGGGAGATCAGGTATATGTACTTTTGTTTTTTTAAATTCACTTTATATTTTTTATTTTGTATTCTATAGTAGTTCATTGTAAAACTTTATTCACTTGTATCTCTAGAGAGTATATGATTTTGTATTTTACTTGAAATTATTAGAATTTTTTGTTTTAACTATAAAAAATAATATTATAGCAACTTATTATAGAAAGTCCAATTGTAAAAAATAGTGTCAAACTGTCTCACCCAGTCATAAATATTGTTGTTTGGTATATTATAGTCCATATTTCTATGTAGTTACAACTGTGTTTTTAATAGATTTTTATAATTACAAATCTAGAATGTTAAAAATTTATAACATCAATGGGGTTGTTTTTTAAACTAATCTGGCCTGCATTTTTCATAATATGATTGCTTTTGCTGAGTGAATGCTTAGAAGGCAAAAATATAGTTTTATAGTCTTTTTCCCCTGTTGTATAAATTATTGTCTTTTAATGAGCATAAAGGCATCATGAGGAAAATAGAGATCACAAGTTTCCCATTGATCTATCATAGAAGTAGGTATGCTAAGTCACGTAGCAGCTGAGTTAAATCCTAAACTCTAGTGCTCTCTGGCGATAATACAATGGGAACTATATATTCATTAAAAATTTCTTGGTTACCACACTGAAAAGTAAAAAGGAACAGTTAACATTGATTTTGATAATATATTTTATTTAATCCTGAGTGTGTGTGTGTGTATACACACATATAGTTTTACAATTTCAACATATAAGTGACATAAAAGTTATTAATGACACATCTTGTGCTCTTTTTTCATAAAGTTTCCAAAATTTAGTGTGTATTTACACTTGTAGCACATCTCAGTTTGGACAAGCCATATTTAAAGGGCCCAGTAACTACTGAGGCCGGCTAGTGCCTACCATGTCGAGTAGCATAGCTCTGGCAGAGGGATTAGATAGCTTATCCTCTAAAAGACCAGGCAGATATTTTAGGCTTTGTAGGTCACAGAATCTCTGTTCTACTCAAATCTGTTTTTGGAGTATAAAAGCAGCTATAGAGTGAATGAATGGTGTGGCTATGTTCCACAGAACTTTTATTTACAAAGCAAACAGCGGGACTGGATTTGGCATGTGGGTGGCTGTTGGCAGACCCCTGTTCTAGAGCATGGAGTTTATATACAGTCCCTGCTGTGCATGCAGTTTATCATTTTCTTCTTTTTCATCCCCTGCAAGTATATCATACGTAGATGAAACATTGGAAGTTTGGGGATGAGGGGGCTTACTTTTTTAATATAACCTGTAGCCTTCTTTTGATTGTGGTGCTGTTAGCACTTTGATAACCATTTTTCTAAAACAGACTCTATGGGTGAAACTAAGCTTCTCTGAACTTGAATCCATTATGGGACATTATCATTTTTATGTACTAATTATATCTGTATTTGATTATTTATTGATTATATTGTTAACAGTGAACTTTATATTATTGCAGCTCTCAAATGCTGTTTTACATCTGCAAAAAATTAACTAGCCATCAGATGCTTAGTAGCACAGAAATTCTCAAGTGGTTGCGGGAAATTTTGATCTGCAGGAATAAATTTCTTCTTAAAAATAAGGTAAGCAAAATTACACCTTAAAATTGGAAAAATGCATGGAATGATCATGGGGAGAGAGTAAGGAAGTATTTACTAGCTAAATTAGGTCCTGCTTCGGCTGTTCTCTCCTACAAGGCCCTAAAGAGAAATACATGTGCAGAAGACAATGGCTGACAAATCAATATTTAAAAAATTATTCTGAGGCTTTTGCCTTAAAACCCAAATGTTGGGCCAACCCTGAAGCACAGCGGTTAAATCCTGTGCATGGAACCCCATCTGATCTGGCCAACTGTGGATGGAAACTGGCCCCAGTAGCTTGAAAAATTCACTGTTGTGGTTGCATGCCCCAAATCCTGACAGGGTGGAGAAATGGGGGAAAATGCTTGCACTGCGACCACGCCTCTCTGGGGGTGTGCATCTCCATCCCCTCCATCCCAATGAGCACTTGTGCCTTCTAACAATTTAAAAAAATAAAAAAACACAATGTTAATTAATTCCGTGTAAGTAGGACTCCACAAGTCTAGCCTTGGAGAAAGAGGGGCTCCTCTAAACCAAAGTAGGCTCAGGACATACTCCGTCTTTACTCTCAAGTTCATATGTAGGACCTAGGCTCTTGACGAGGCTGGTCTAGAGAGTATTAATCTTATCAGTCAAGAAACTGAAGGGAAGAGGTTAAGGGTCCTCAATCTAGATTTATTTCTCCCAAAGAAGTTTTCACTTCTTGAAAATGTCAGGAATGAAATTTTTTTATCTTGAATGATTGAAACATGGTGAAGATGTTAGGGATAGGGAAGACTTTAATTTCTTTTAATGTATAGTTTTTATAGCTAATCTCAAAAAGCTTCTATTATGGCATTGTTTTAGTAGTAATTTTTCACAAGCTTTTTAAAGAACTTTATTTCCTCTGTGGGTGAGAGAGAAGTAGTACCCCAACAGGGTCCTGGTACTGAACCCCACCCCTAGCCGTCAACCAGCCCTGAACTGCAGACAATCATGCATCCAGGATACCTAGAGAGGGCTCCGGATTTGAACTGGGAGACTTCCCATATAGAATCACCTCCTTGTATCTTACCCTCCTGTGCTACTATCTTTTCCCATATTTAATGAGTTGTTTTTTTAAGAGAGATGTTTGCTCTAGGTTGCCTATACTTGCCAGAGAGACAGAAAACAAGAAATCAGTCCCCAGGGGTGGATGGCCATGCTGCAGTCCCTTCTCCATTCTCCTCTTGGGATCTTTGACATGCATGCAAAGTCCCAGACTTAGCGAGAGTTTTAAGCCACCGGGTCCTGGACTTGAACTGCAGTCGACTACTTGGGATTCCAGTGACATAACCTTTACACCATCTGGTCCCTTAATGAGTTTTTTATTCAAGTCCATGATCTTGGGCGTGGTGGCACCCGCCCTATAGCAAAAACCTATGGAGGCTGGAGGATTGCGGCATCAAGTCCATGATCTTGACTGTGAGAAAGCATAAATGTATCAAACTCATGCCTTTTAGTACTGTGCAGCTTGTTAAATTTTCTTTGTTTAGAAATGGGCTAATGATGAAGTGGATTTTTTCACACCTGGCCTATCTTGGTGTGTTAAATATAGTGAAATTGGCATTAATCCCAAAGATAAGGAAAGAGCTTAGATTTTAGAGTTTCATGCCCTTGCCTGTGATATAAGCTCTAGAATATAAGCATTAGTGGGACCAGCAGTTAGCATAATGGCTATGTTGCTGAACTCCCATGTAGTTGACCATGGTTCGAGTCCCAGACCTGGTAGCTTAAACTCATGCCGGGCGCATGTGCGTGTGTGCCCAAGATCCTGAGAGGAAAGTGGAGGAGAAGGGATTGCGGTGTGGCCATTCCCCGTAGGGGGTGATTTCTCACTTTCTGTCTCTATGTCTCTGTCTTTCTGGCGAGCGCACGCGCCCTATAGCCAAAAAAAAAAAAGGAAAAAAAAACAAGCATTAGTAATCCAGTAATGAATGTGCAGTACTCTGGTCAGCAGAATCACTCTTTTTTTTTTTTTTTTTTTTTGGGGGGGTTTTTTTTTTTTTTTGTATTTGGCGGGTGCGGCCCCCCAAAGAGAGAGAGCGCGAGCGAGTGAGCGAGAAATCACCCCCCGGGGAAATGGCCACACCGCAGTCTCTTCTCCTCCATTCTCTTCTTGGGACCTTGGGCACGCACACACATGCGCCTGGGGTGAGTTTAAGACACCAGGTCCAGGACTTGAACTGCGGTCGACTACATGGGAGTCCAGCGACATAGCTATTATGCTAACTGCTTGTCTCAGCAGAATCTCTCTTGTCACATACTTGGCATATACCAGTGCTAACTACTAATTCAGAAGAAGTTGTTAATCTCGAAAGAGTCAACTTTCGATTATCCTGACATGGCACAGAATGTTATCTTTTTTAAAATTAAAACAAATTATTATAGAGCAGTGTGCACTTGCCAGAGAGAGGGAAAGGGAAAAACACCCTCCCCAGTGGATGGCCATGCTGTACTGCCTTCTCTTCCATTCTCCTCTCAGGATTTTGGGCATGCATGCACATGTACCTGACGTTTTTCAAGCTTCCAGGTCTGGGTCTTGAATTATACAGTTGGTCTTAAAACTACAAAACTGACTGGCCCCAGAATAAAATCTTAGGGAAGAAAATCTTTGTCATTTATGGTGGCCTGAGTTGCATATGTATAGTTTTCATATGGTGGGTTTGTTGTTGATATTTTAGTTGTGTCTGTGTTAGATTTAATTTACATTTCTAGAATCTGTTGGAAAGTGGAACATAAGAGAGTTCAAAGACATAAGTAAACAGGATTTATCTTAATGGGCTTCTAAAAATATCTCTCAAAGTGAGGCATAGGTTGGGATGAGAGGTTTCTAGTGTAGTTACATTAAATAATATTTATTCCTCTTGGTTGTCCGTGTTTCAGTAGAGCTTGTTTCTTTCTTTCTTTTTTTTTTTCCTAGCAGGCAGATAGAAGTTCTTGTCACTTTCTCTTCCTTTATGGAGTAGGATGTGATGTTCCTTCTAGTGGACACCCTAGTCAGATGCCTATGGATCATGAAGAGTTACTACGCCCATGTACTCCTGGAGCCTCTCTCAGGAAGGGCAAAGGAAACTCCTCCATGGTGAGAAACTTATTTAGTAATTTTCTTGTGTCATCATTTGTGCTCTCTCTCTTAATAAACATAAATTTTAACTAGGTAATATAGCTTAGTAGTTAAAAACTGCTTAGATTCTACTTCAGCCACTGCTCTGTATGGCATCTTAGGCAAGTTCTTAACATCTCTGTGGCTCAGTTTCTCAACTTTAAAATGGGGATAATAATAATTCCTGTCCCAAAGTTGCTTTAAGGATTATATGAGATCATATATAAACAGCACTTAATCAGACTGGTAACAGTAGCTACTGTAAACCTCCCCCCTTAAGAAACACCATTTTTATACCTCAGAGGTTTAAAAGTTTCAACTGACAAAGATAAAACTTGGATAAAAACAAAGAATTTTACTTGATGGTATAAATAAGCATTTCCACAATTTGTTTATGTATATCATTTCTTTAAAATAAAATTACAGTATAAATGAAAATATAGATGTTAGACTTTTTCCAGACTAAAACTCTATCCCTGATTTTTAATGATTTTTAATACAACTTCTATTAAGGAATACAGCTAAGCACTATGATATTTACCGTTTTGTCTGCTTTACCTGCAGAATTTGCATTTGTTTCGTGAATGAGTTTCTTCCATTTCATGCTTATGGACTATGTAATTTAGAATCAAGAATATCTTCAGTAATACCTAGCTGTTTGCCTTTGTTTTAGTCAGTGCTGCAATGTACTTATTTATTCCCTTTAGTAAGTTACTCCCTGTTACTTCTTCTTCCTTTGTTATTTATAATTAACTGGGAAGTACATTACACTTTTCTTGTAGCAAATTTATGTTGTGATGTTTTACTTGTGTCTGTGTTAGACTTAATTTAAATTTCTGGAATCTGGGATAGGATAGTACATATCTGATTTAAAATTGGACAAATAGTAGCATTATGTTACACCAAATAATCTCATTTCTCATTTAGACAAGATACTGGGGATTTGAAAAAAATTCCTATTATGATTAAAAAGGAAAATTCTTGTGAGTGATTGTATGCTGATACATATAGTACACAGTTCATTGCATTGTCGGGTTTTGCATATGTATGCCTTCCACCCCTGACTCCCAGGATAGTGCAGCAGGGTGCAGTGGAACCCCACCAATATGCCGACAAGCCCAGACCAAACTTGAAGTAGCACTGTACATGTTTCTGTGGAGCCCTGATACTGAAGCTGTTCTGGTTGCCATGTCTTGTTTCCGCCACCTCTGTGAGGAAGCAGATATCCGGTGTGGGGTGGACGAAGTGTCAGTGCACAACTTCTTACCCAACTATAACACATTCATGGAGTTTGCCTCTGTCAGCAATATGATGTCAACAGGTACGTGTGGAGAATGTTTTTTGCATCCAGTCTGCCTCAAATCACATGGCATCTGATTGTGTTAGGGATGTGAGAAAGTACAGTCATACACCACATAATGAAGCTTCAGTCAGCAGTGGCCCACTCACATAGCAGTGGTTCCAGGAGATTATGCCAGATAGCCTAGATGTGTACTAGGCTGTGCCATCTAGGTTTATGATTGAACAGCCATGAATCTCCTAATGTCACATTTCTCAGGCTGTATTCTCATTGTTAAGTCACACCTCACCACTTGTATTTAATATTACTACCTAATAAACTTACAGGGCTAATTCATATAGCTCACTGGAAATTCTTTTCTGGACAAGGAGGGGTGAAAGTAAGTAACATTTGAAATAAATTGTTAGTCTCTCACAGAGTTTAAAATATGCACATGGACCAGAACATGGTGTAATGGTAACATCGCTGGACTCCCACATAGTCAGCCGCAGTTCACATCTCTGACCTGGTGACTTAAAACTCATGCCAGGCACATGTGCGTATGTGTCCAAGATCCCATGAGGAGAATGGAGGAGAAGGAATTGTGGTGTGGCCATCCCCCGTGGGGGGGGACTTTTTGCTTTCTGTCTCTCTCTGTCTCTCTGGGGAGCACATGTGCCCTATAGCAAAAACTCCTCTCTCAAAAAGAAAAATATGCAGTACTTTTATTAACTGACATTTTAGATTGCTTTAGCTGTACATTACAGAATTTGTTCTGTTTGAAATAAATATAGTGACTTTTAAGCGTATCCACATATGTTTCGAGTAAATCTTAGGTGAGAATGGCTATTTTAAGCTTTGGACATTGTGGACTCTGAGATAAATACCTTTCCTGTGAGACTGGTAAAAGGACGTCTTTGGCTGTATCATTTGAAGAATCGTTTTGTAACCCCTACTCTGCCTTTGGGTAGGGCTTACCGGATTCTCCATTGACAGGCAGGACTCTGAGTGCAGTTGCCTGACTTGCTGTTGTCTTTGCTTAGGAAGAGCAGCGCTTCAGAAGAGAGTGATGGCACTGCTGAGGCGCATTGAGCATCCCACCGCAGGAAACACCGAGGTATGCCCTCAGTGAAAGGAGCACCCCGCCCAGAACCCCTCCAGTTAGAAGCCTCACATTGCATGTGTGAGAGAGATCAGGAAGAGGTTTTGAAGCAAATTTAAGACATGTGAATATTATAAGTAGGATATCCAATTTCTAATATGCACCGAGTTTGAAATATGGTTGTTACTGATAGAGTTTTAACTAGGCTTAAATATGCCTTTAAATGACAGTTGCCTGTTCATTTTAGGCTTGGGAAGATACTCATGCAAAATGGGAACAAGCTACAAAACTGATCCTTAACTATCCAAAAGCCAAAATGGAAGATGGCCAGGTGAGTTCATAACATTGATTGTCTGTTAGTTGACCTGGTAAACACAGGTACTTCACAGCAGTAATCTATCATGAGTTATTTTAATGTAAGTAAATAGTTGTCTTAAGACTGATATTTAGGGACTAGCAGTTAGCGTAATGGCTATGTTGCTGAACTCTTACGTAGTCAACCGTGGTTCAAGTCCCAGACCCGGTGGCTTAAGCTTACGCCGGGTGCATGTGTGTGCATGCCCAAGATCCCAAGAGGAGAATGGAAGAGAAGGGATTATGGCGTGGCCACCCACCCTGGGGGGGGTGATATCTTGCTTTCTGTCTCTCTGTCTCTCTCTGTCTTTCTGGTTAGCGCACATGCCCTATAGCAAAAACCTGTCAAAAAAAAAAAAAAAGACTGATATTTTTAGTCATGGTTCACCTAAACCTGCACTCTCTAAGATGGTAGCTACTAGCCACATGGCCACTTAAAGTTTATTAAATTTGAACTTAAATGAATTAAAATTAAGTAGAATTAAAATTCAGTTCCTCAGTCATACAGCAGCCAAATTTCAAGTACTCAATCACTGTGTATGGGGATTACTTTATTAGGTAGCTGAGACAGAAAATAGTTTTGACATTGCAGAAATACTGGACAGCACTGCTAGGTACCCTTTATGGTAGAGACTGTTTCTTTACTCTCTTCCTTATTCTTTCTCCCTTCATTATGGTATTTCACAGAAATTTTAGAAAAGAGGTGATCAAGCTAGGTAAAAATAAATTAAAATTGAAACAGTTGTTTTTAGTGTTTTTTCTTGTTTTTTTTTTAATTAATTAATTTTTTTTTAATTTACGTAAGGGCATGTATGTTTGCTAGAGAGAGACAGACAGAGAGGGAAAATGAAAACTCACCCCCTAGGGGATGGCCATGCCGCAATACCTTCTCCCCTCAGGATTTTGAGCATGCACGTGTGCCCGTCATGATTTTCAAGCCTCTGGGCCCAGGCCATGTGGGATCCAGTGCCTTAACTACCACCTGCTGGCCCTGAAACTGTTTATTTTACTGTTTTGTTAGGTATTCTAATGAAGAGATCATGTGGGCAGAAGATTGAGCTGTAAATTAAATGAAATTTTAAAATTGGAATATTTCATTCATCAACTATTATGAGCTATATTTATCCATTTGCTGTTATCGTCTGTTGCTCTATAAATTAACAATTAATTGGTATTTGTGTGTATTTAATTTGTAATACACACATTGCTCTGATTATTATTAGGTCTTTAAAAAAACCTGATTATTCTCTATTTCTTCTATGTCATGTGTAATTAGAAAAAGAAAAAAAGTTGTTTGTTAAGCAAATTATTTGGCTAATACCATTGTTTAGAGAAGACATGACTTTAGGATAAAAGATTTTTGAGAGGGTAACTGTTTAATTGGTATGTAATTCACATACCATTCAATTCAGTCATTTGAAGTGTTCAATTCAGTGGCTTGTTTCAATGTATTCACAGTTATGCCACAGTCAGTTTTAGACCATTTTCTGCACCTGAAAAAACAAAACAAACAAACAAACAAAAAACTTTTAATTGTGTCTGCCTCTTAACTCCTACTTTTCTACTCTTTGTTCTCCCCTCCCCAACCCATCACCTCTCTAGTCCTGGGAAATCTCTAATCTATCTCTGTAGATTTGCCTATTCTGGGCGTAAGTGGAATCAGAGAAAAAAAAAATTGGTGGGCTTTTATGACCTGCTTCTTTCATTTAGCCTAATGTTATCAAGGTTCTTCCTTGTGAATCAAAGGTTTTTAAAAGAAAATTGGTACTCTGGGTAATTATTAATCTAGCTGTAACAAAAATATGTCTGTGGCTCTTTAAAACTGTATATGATAATTTCATGTTTTGAGTTTTTTCTTTTTCTTTTTTTCTGATTTTTGTCATAGGATACATATGCTTGCCAGAGAGACACACAGAAAGAAAGGGGAAGAAAGAGAGAGAGAGAAAGGAAATGAGAGAGAGAGGGAGGGAAAGTGAGAAATCACCTCCCAGGGGGATGGCTACGCCACAGTCCCTTCTCCTTCATTCTTCTCCTGGTAGTCTGGGATTTTGGGCACACACACACACACACACACACGACTGGTGTGATTTTCAAGCTGCCAGATCCAGGACTTGAACCACAGCCAGCCATGTAGAAGTCCAGCACCTTAACCACCACCCTACCTCATGGCCCCCATGTTTTGATTTTTAAGATGTAAATTATGTACATTTGTGATGGAAGAAATATTGGATGAAGAGTAATTTGTTGAACTTCCACTAATTTAGATTGTATTCATGCTTTCCATACATTTTTTTTTAGGCTGCTGAAAGCCTTCATAAGACCATTGTTAAGAGGCGAATGTCTCATGTGAGTGGAGGAGGCTCCATAGATCTGTCCGATACGGACTCACTACAGGAATGGATCAACATGACTGGCTTCCTTTGTGCCCTTGGGGGAGTGTGCCTGCAGCAGAGAAGCAATTCTGGCCTGGCAACCTATAGCCCACCCATGGGCCCAGTCAGTGAACGTAAGGGTTCCATGATTTCCGTGATGTCCTCAGAGGGAAATGCAGACACGCCTGTCAGCAAATTTATGGACCGGCTGCTATCCTTAATGGTGTGTAACCACGAGAAAGTGGGACTTCAGATACGGACCAATGTTAAGGATCTAGTGGGTCTAGAATTGAGTCCTGCTCTTTATCCTATGCTATTTAACAAACTGAAGAATACCATCAGCAAGTTTTTTGACTCCCAAGGACAGGTAAAATGTTTGTTACTTTATTTTTCACTCTTCCCTGTGAATAGAGTGATTTGTTTGAAATAACAAGACCTTTTTATTTCAGATTATTTAAATTAGGTATTGGTATGAATATTCACTGACATTTTTAATAAAAAAGTAGACAACAAGTTGCAGAAAGTACAGTCATCTGTAGGAATCAGTTTGCTTTCTAGGAACTTAGGTGTATGAGTGTGCCTGGGAGAGTGAGTCTTGGTATGCCTTCGATATGAGCACGAGTGCCCATGTGTAACTATGGACTTGTTTGGGTATATGCCTATGAGTGCAGTTCTGTGTGTGTGTGTGTGCATGCGTGTGTGTGTGAGATATTTAGGTCAGTTTCCTCTCTCTGTGATCTGCTTGCTGTGTATATAAGATTACTAATGTATTTTGTCGTTTGTATAGGTTTTACTGACTGACACCAATACTCAATTTGTAGAGCAAACCATAGCTATAATGAAGAACTTACTAGATAATCATACTGAAGGCAGCTCTGAACATCTGGGACAAGCTAGCATTGAAACAATGATGTTAAATCTGGTCAGGTAAGCTTTCTGCTGAATCGTAGCAGAAACATATTTTAGGGGTTACGAAAACTTCTTATGTATTTATATTGGTAGTTATTGGTGAAATAATTTGCCTTTCTTTCTCTACTGCACACAAGGCAGGCTGTGGCAATAAGGCAACCAGAAGTTGTAGATGTTCTACTATAAGAAATAAAAAAAAGGATCATTTTCAAAATTACATTCAATCATTTTACTTAGAGATTAAAGCATTTAGAGAACCTTCTCTTTTGTCTGTATCTGATCTTTTTTATAATTTTTTTTTTGTTTAAATAGATATGTTCGTGTGCTTGGGAATATGGTCCATGCAATTCAAATTAAAACAAAACTGTGTCAGTTAGTTGAAGTAATGATGGCAAGGAGAGATGACCTCTCATTTTGTCAAGAGATGAAATTTAGGTGAGTTACCAAAAAAGCAAAGTAGGATCTTGTAAATCTCACTATGTTAAATGAAGTTCACATAAATAGCAGGCACTGGTTATAGGGAGAAGGGAGTACGGCAAAGGACCGTTTTGTATGCTTATTTTTCTCCACATGTCTTTTCATGTTTTCCAAAGCATTGTGCTCATGGCCATGCTCCCTTTTCCTACAGTGGATGTACTTGAGCTAACTATTTCATTGCGTTTACAAACTGGTACCGTAGCCAGGGACCAGTGAGGCGAATCAGTATCCAAATGTCTCATGTTGATGCCCTTTTGACTTTCACCTCTGTGATGGCAGTATCTCTTTTAAAAAGTTGTAAGTCACCTGAGTTATTTGGAAAATTATTTTCATTGTTAGAAAATGTAGCTGAGCACTGGTTCATGCCTATAATCTCAGGCCAGGAGGCCGAGGGAGGAGGTTTATGAGTTTAAGACTAGCATGGACAATATTGTCTGTCTCTTATAAAAAGAATCTTATGTGACTGGTAAAAAATATCAGACTTTAAGAATTATTTGCTCTTTTCCTTTTCTCTACCATTATATAGGAATAAAATGGTAGAATACCTGACAGATTGGGTTATGGGAACATCAAACCAAGCAGCAGATGATGATGTAAAATGTCTTACAAGGTAAAACAAACAAACAAACAAAAAAAAGAATTGTGTTCCAGTATTAGCGGGTTCAGGTTTTACTTTAGGCATAGCTATTATACATATATTTTACATGTTTAAATGGTTTTTGTTTTTCAACATGTCAAGCTTTTGAAATATATAAAGATACTTATCTTTACTATTACTGTTTTTTTACCCGAAAGACTTGCACTGAAAACAAATGTGAGATTGTTATGTTTAGAAGAATAATATTGTCAGTTTAGGAAGAATAGTCTAGTTACTGGGAAGTAAGATATATAAAGCCTTAGGTTATATTTATGTGATGATTAGATAGATCAAGATATTATTTGAAGCACTTAATTGAATATCTCTATGAAGTAATTGCTTAGGTTTGCTTTAATGGTAAATGCTTACAGATTTCACCAAGTGGTTAAACATGATGAACTATGTAATAAGCATTCACATGTGTTATTTTGGTTAGGACAGATTTTACGGTACATGCTTTTGATTTAAGGTAGCCATTTTGCCAAGATTACTTTGTGGAAAGTTATTGTCATCTCCCCGTTTTGAAATATGTATTCGAGGATATGCATATTAATTCAGTTATTAGGTTGTCCTAATAACATTTTTTTGTTTATTTATTTATTTTTTTTGAGAGATTTTTGCTATAGGGCGCGTGTGCTCACCAGAAAGACAGAGAGAGACAGAGAGATAGAAAGCAAGAAATCACCACCCAGTGGGGATGGCCACGCCACAATCCCTTCCCCTCCATTCTCCTTTCGGGGTCTTGGGCACACACGCACATGCGCCCCTCCATTCTCCTTTTGGGGTCTTGGGCACACACGCATGTGTTTAAGTCACCGGGTCCAGTACTCGAACCGTGGTCGGCTACATGGGAGTTCAGCAACATAGCCATGACACTAACTGCTGGTCCTATCCTAATAACGTTTTTAATAAAATAGACAGCTCCTAAAGTTTATGTCTGCTAGTAATATGTTTGTTAGAGGGGAAGATGGGACTGGAGAAGGTAAAAATCTTAATGGTCTCTTAATCTTTTTCCCTCAGAGATTTGGACCAGGCAAGCATGGAAGCAGTAGTTTCACTCTTGGCTGGTCTTCCGCTGCAGCCTGAGGAAGGAGATGGTGTTGAATTGATGGAAGCCAAATCACAGTTATTTCTTAAGTAAATTTCGTTCTCCAACAACATAAAGCAAAAAGAAAATAAAGCCCCACACAAACAAAATGAAGCAGATGTAACCAAAGTGGCAAATGATTCTATGTAGGGACTTCAAAAAACTTGTGAAAAGATGGGCTTAAAATAAAAGTTTACTTTGGTGCAAACATTTTGAAACCCACTGACAATATTTTTGTAATAGATATTTTCCATGAACTTTTTGAACATCCTTTATATCTAGGAAATAGATCTAATTACATTAGCATTATGGCCATTGACTGCTGGTTCATAAAACATATGACCCTTGTGAAGAAATAATCCCCGTTACAGGACCGCAGTAGCAGAAACAACTGTATTTTGTAGTTTTTAAAGAAAATTATGTGATCAATGAATTTTTACTTGTAATAAAACCCAGGTTGTTTCATTAAGTCATTTAAAGTGACATTGTCCAAACTGTTTGAACCGCTAATTTTATACGATAAACATTAAAAGTGACACATTTACCTGGAAACACTGCTTCTTTTTTGTGCTTATGTTATGACATGTGCACTGGGCTGTATCAGGATAGAATCTTATTCAACCCCGCACACTTGGTCATGAACCACCCTGGCTGACCCGCCCGAGACGAGAGAGAAACAGATAGCCAGGACCACCCATGTGATGCATGTGTGATTATTTCACAATGTCTGATTGGTTAGCTCTCTTGTTGACATGGGCTTCACTGTTTATCTTATTTCTCAGGTACTTCACATTATTTATGAACCTTTTGAATGACTGTAGTGAAGTGGAAGATGAAAATGCACAAACAGGTGGCAGGAAACGTGGCATGTCTCGGAGGCTGGCATCACTGAGGCACTGTACAGTCCTTGCAATGTCCAACTTACTCAATGCTAATGTGGACAGTGGCCTCATGCACTCCATAGGTGAGATAAATGAAAACTTCATATAGAAATAGAAAACCTAGAAAATTCAGTCCCACTGTGTTAGTACGTGCTGTAAAGACTCAGTGCTCCATAGGCTGGGACATGGGATGCTTTGGTTCAAGTCCTGATCCAATGTAAAGGCCAGCATGACCACATGTTCCTATAATCCCGGAGACCAGGGGAGACTGAGGCAGGAGGATTGTAAGCATGGTATTGTCCTGGGCAACATAGTAAGACCCTATCTAAAAATACAAAACAAACCTGAGAATTGGCGTGTTAAGACAAGTGAAATTCATTTCAGTAGGGCCTTATTAATAAATTTGCATCTGTCTGTCCATATTAGGTTTAGGTTATCACAAGGATCTCCAGACAAGAGCTACATTTATGGAAGTTCTGACCAAAATCCTTCAACAAGGCACAGAATTTGACACACTTGCAGAAACAGTGTTGGCAGATCGGTTTGAGAGGCTGGTGGAATTGGTCACCATGATGGGTGATCAGGGAGAGCTCCCAATAGCTATGGCTCTGGCCAATGTGGTCCCTTGTTCTCAGTGGGTAAGTTTATTGGGTGAGGAAAGAAGAGTACGTGGCATGGCACATATACTTCAAAATATATTTGTTCAGTAAATGTGTGTTGAATGAATTGATACCATTTTAGAGGTGGAAGAAACTTCAGATAGTTAGTTCGGTCATTTCAGCTGTGGGGAAATAGTTAACACTTCTAACCTTTAATGGTATTCTGTTTCATTCTACTCCACTGAAAGATTCCATTTAAACACTGATTAAGAGAATATTAAAAAATCACTGATTGGGGCCAGCAGGTGGCGCGGTGGTTAAGGTGCTGGATTCCCACATGATCTACTGCGGTTCGAATTCTGGACTAGATGGCTTGCTTTCTCACTTTCCCTTTCTTTCTCTCTGGTCAAATTAATAATAATAATAATAATAACAACAACAAATAAAAGAAAATAAATCATTAGTTAAAAAAAAATAAAGCAATGTCTTTTTAAAAAAAAATCACTGATTGGCCTAGTGTTGTCATAGGTTAAAAGGTAATGTAATTAGATTAAACCTAATTTTAGTTAGTTGCTAAAAAAGCTAGAACTAGAATTCACAATCTGTGCCTGTTGACTCCTCCAGATTGCTGTTCTTTTTTCTATAATGCCTTGTACATTTTTTAATTTGAAATTGTGCTATTGCTTATTTTAAATACCGAAGACATAACATGGCTATTTAGCTTGTATCTTAATTTAATGAAAAAAATCCTAAAATCACATCATTCTTAATATATGGTAAGACTTTGAGAAGGGTTATTGTTCCTTCCAATGTTAAAAAGCCATTTGGTTTGTATCATACTGCAAATTATTTCATTATAGTAAATTATAGATAATAATCTGTCATTACCTGTAGATTTGTTTCTGCTTACAAGCTGTAGGATCATATTTCTCAAACTTAAAGTAAAATTCATACTTCTTAACCTACAAAACTGTTAGCCAATTTGAGTCCTGCCTCATCTCTGACACGATCTTGTACCATTTTCTTTCTCGTTCACCAAACTTAATGCCACCCTGGCCTCCTTTCCATTCCTCAAAAATGTTAGACTTGTTTCTACCTCAGACCACCATTGCTGCTGCTCCCTTCTGAAATGCTTCTCTTCTGATTATTTTATTTTGGTAAGAACACTTAACATGACATCTATCCTCTTAACAGATTTTTTAAGTATACAGTATAGTTTTGATACCATATGAACTTATTCCTCTAACATAAATGAAATTTTATAACCAATTGATTAACAATACTTCCAAATTACTAAAATCCTCTTAAAGCCTAAAATTAGTCCATAGATAATCAAGTGTTTTGTAAATCAACATTCTGAATTTTCTTCTTCTTCTTCTTCTTCTTCTTCTTCTTCTTCTTCTTCTTCTTCTTCTTCTTCTTCTTCTTCTTCTTCTTCTTCTTCTTCTTCTTCTTCTTCTTCTTCTTCTTCTTCTTTGCTATAGGTTGCATGCACTTGCAAGACAGAGAGAGAGAGAGATATCACCCCCCTCAAAGGGGATGGTCACATTATAATCCCTTCTTTCCAGTGTTTTTTAAGCTACTGGGTCTGGGTCTGGAACAATACAGTCTGCTATGTGGGATCCAGCAGTTAACCACCATGCCACCTGCTGGCCTACTGAATTATCTTTTTAACACCTACCTGTAATTAACAATAAAAGTACTCAGTAGGTTTTTTCGTTTGTTTTAAATTTGCTACTGGGCTTGCATGCTTGCTGGACTGAGATAGAGAGAGAGGGGTAAAGAGAGAAGGCAGCTCCCAGGAGGGATGACCACGTCACATTTCCCTTCTCCTTCATTCTCCTCTTAGGGTTTTGGTCAAACTGCCGGATCCCAGACTCGAATTGCATAGTTGGCTATGTGGGATCTAGCTGCCTTAATCAACATGCCACCTGGCTGGCCCTTGGTAATTTTTTTAGAAAGAATAATTTTTCTTGATTTTATAGTGGAGGCTGGAGTTTTTATGTATAGTCAAGTATGTTTTAGGTAACTGTAAATATGAGAGCAGAATATTGAGCCTTCATAATTCTAAATGAATGGCATCTAAATTATTTGTGGTTGGGACTCTTAAACATTTTGCTTTACTCAAACATCAGATTATTATAATCCTAGAACTAGGCATGAATTAGGAAGGTTGTCGATCATGATACAAGCCTCTGTTTTCACTGCTTGAGGATTGAGGCATCTTTTTTAGGGCTACCCGTAGTTTTTCTTAAATCTCCTTTCAGCATGTAGTTAGACAGTGATTCATTATCAAATAATTTTTCTTGAGTGTACTGAATACTACTTGACTATAAGGGATTATATGGGTTATTTAGGTATTAAATGGAAATTTCAGCCCCTACTCCCAACCTCTTATCTTTGTACATAAATCTGCCTAATCTCTGGGTTCTTAATTACCCAGGTCCTTTTCTTCCTGATTTCTTAAAAGTCCTATATAGTCTTCCCATTTTTGTTTTTCTGTTTAGTATGAACTAGACATGTTCATTGTTCACTCTGAGCTCCCCTGACTATGTGAGGAAAATGTATTGCTCTTCTGGTTACCAAAGTCTGCTTCTGTGAAGTGGTTTTCTTTCTTTTTTTTTTTGGAGAGGTTTTTCGCTATAGGGCGCATGCGCTTGCCAGACAGACAGAGAGAGACATAGAGACAGAAAGCAAGAAATCAGCCTCCAGGGGGGATGGTCATGCCGCAATCCCTTCTCCTCCATTCTCCTCTCAGGATCTTGGGCACGCATGCACACGTGCCCGGCGTGAGTTTTAAGCCACCGGGTCCGGGACGCGAACCGCTGTTGACTACGTGGGCGTCCAGCGACATAGCCATTACGCTAACTGCTGGTTCCCTGAAGTGGTTTTCTAAGAAAATGATCTGTGCAAATGTCTGCACAAATCAAACTGAACTCTGTTATCATTCTCTACTTCTGCCCTCTTATTTTAGGATAGGATTTGAGTTGGATCTTGGAGTTTTTCTATCTCCTGGTTAAAGCCTAGGCTTCTCTATCACCAGTTAATCCTTAGAATTAACAGCTATTGGAGACCTGTATAAATAGTCACCTGTTATAGACAGATATACAGAGATAAATCTCAGGGTGAAATGTTAATCAGTCACCATTTACCTTGATTTGGCAGGTGGTTGTCAACTTGTATTTGCCTTTTTGCTAATCTTCAGCTTCCTACTTGAGAAGAAAAATGGGATTGTTTGCACTAACACAGTTTTGTTCTCAGGATGAACTAGCTCGAGTCCTGGTTACTCTGTTTGATTCTCGGCATTTACTCTACCAACTGCTCTGGAACATGTTTTCTAAGGAAGTAGAGTTGGCAGACTCCATGCAGACTCTTTTCCGAGGCAACAGCTTGGCCAGTAAAATAATGACATTCTGTTTCAAGGTTTGTAGCCTTCATTTTTTTGTATGTGTATGCTGAGTTATGTCAAGCAATCATTATGTACAAAATATGCAGACCAGATATTCTTCTTCTAATGCAAGATATATGGAGCAGGAATAATAAATTGCTGTTTGTGCATTTCTCCAGGTGTATGGTGCTACCTACCTACAAAAACTCCTGGACCCTTTATTGCGGATTGTCATCACATCCTCTGACTGGCAACATGTTAGCTTTGAAGTGGACCCTACTAGGTTTGTCATCTTCTCATATACAACAGACTGAAAATTGGCAGCTCTTCTTAGATTTTTTTTTTTTCTTTATTCATGGTAGAGCTCAGGCGTGGTTATAGATATAGGGAGAGAGGGAGGGAAGGAGCTGAGCACCTGCTACAGGGTTGGGTCATGCCACAATTCCATTCCTCCAGCCTGTCTGTTGGACACTTGTGTGCATGTCTTGCTCATTTCAGGCTGACCAGGCCTGGGATTCCAATGGCAGTGGCCATTTGGAATCTGGGTTCTCTTGAGTAGCATATTACTATTGTGCCATGGAGCCTGCCCCAGTAACTCTTCTTAGTTTCCTCAGAGAATCGAGGTCACAGGGCAAACCACTATCCCCGAAACTGAAGAGACAGGTGAGTATACGGAATTACAGCTTGCCACAGCAGACAGGAGAAGAAGCTACAGAATAGGAAGGGATGCTTAGATCAGAATAAATTATTGGAAGCTGACTGTGAACTAGCGTGAGAGTTAAAACTCTTGGGAGCCCAGTTTTAGGTGGGCCCCCACACATTTGTGAATTCTGTGTTCAGAATCCTGCCCAGATTCTCATGGCAAAGATGGGAGAAGAATCACTTGGAATTTTGGGTAGAGGTAGAAGAAAAGTGGCCATTTAAAAAATATGCCTATCATGTTCTGTTATTCCTGACCAAGGTCTGCTCTCAAGAGAGCGAACTGCTTCACCAGAACCTTAATGACCTAGAGGATGGACATTGAGCTAGCTCCATCTGCCTGCAGCCTCCCAGGCTCACATAAGGAGAGAGGAAAATGGCTTACAAAACTCTCCTTGAACATCACAGTTAAGGGATTATTGGCCCAAACAGAGAGAGAAAAAAACCAAAAGCAAATTCTTTGAAAATCAAACTGAGGGAAGAGTTTTATACACATGACTACTTAAATAATTGAGCACAAAGCTTCACTGTAGATCAGAATTAGTAGAGTAGCTGACCAATTACCATTGGCACATGGGAGGTAAGAGAGCACTGTGGCTAGGAGGTATCAAACAGCAGTCCATCCTTATTTGTGGTTGGGTTCTCAAGACCCCGAGTAGATGCTTACATCACAAGAAGTGTGGACCCCTATACATACTATGTTTTTTTCAGTCTGTTAACTGAAACCGCTACTAAGGGACTCAGAGGTAGGTAGCATATACTGTACTGTGTGGATATACTGGACAAAGGGATGACAGCCGTCCTGGGCAGGGTGGCATGGGAGAGCATAAGATTTCATCATTGTTTTTCAGAATGCATATAAAAAGGAAGAACTAGCCAGCTCTGTGTTGATGGAAGTGTTGTGTATTTTGACTCTTATCAATATTCATATCCTGGAAGATGTTACCAGGTTCACATCCTGGTAACATCTTGCAAATGTGGCTTTGCAAGATGTTACCATTGGAACTGCAGTAAGATATATAGCCCCAGCTGGGTGCTACTTTATAGGATGTGTGAAGTTAGACTTGTGTTCATGGAAATGTATATATCACTGTGTTTGCTATGAAAATATTTAGATTAATTAAGGTCTTTAGTAATTCAATAAAATGTGGGGGAAAACAGTATAGAAAGCAAACATAGATACCAGAGACAGTGTGGGAGGAGAGTGGGAGATGGCAGAGGGTAAGAGATAGGAAATCAAGGATGGGGGGAATAAAGGCAAAACATACAGAAAACAAGAAATGGAAAATTATTTGCTGACAATAACATGTTTGTTGATGTGCTTGATTGAGACAATATACAGTGTACTCTGGATGGAAAATCTCATTTTGTATGCTGTAATGATGTACAGTGAATGAATGCAAATAAATAAATTGAAATAAAAAAAAAGATGTTACCATTGGGCAAACTGAGTAAAGGGCACAGGGATTTACTTGTAAAATAAATAAGTAAGTATATCAAATAGACCAATTAAAAGAAAAGAAAAAGAATGCATACAATATGAAATTTGGGAATTGCTTACTCCTGGAATTTGTCCCATTTAATATTTTTGGACCATAGTTGACCACGGGTAACTCAAGCCATGGAAAGTGAAACTGGGTAATGGGCTATACCAGTAGCGTCTGCAGAAGTGAGAAACTGTGTGCATGTAAGGGGAAGTACATAAACGATGGTATACAGTACAATGGACTGTTCTGCAGTGAAGTGAGTGAACTAGATCTTCATGTATTGAGATGCATAAATCTTAGGAACATAATGTAGAGTGAAAGATGAAAGGTACTTTTTTTATTATTCCTGAAAAAAATTTAAAACCACATCATTTATGTGTGTGTGTTAATTTTTTTGGATGTATATGGAGGAATGTGAATTGGAAGAGTGCTTGCTGTTCTGTTTTATCTATATTCTTCCTCATCCCCCCCTTTTTTCTGCTCAAGTATTTTAAAGCAAATTCCAAGGATCATGTTTCCAGTAAACACAGACTTAAAAAAAAATCAAGTATACACTCAATAAAATTAAAAATAATCTGTGGGGACAGATGGTGGTACAGCAGTGAGGCAATCCTATGTGGGAGGATTCCTAGCTCAAGTCCCGAGACCTGAGTATGCCAGGCATGCACTTAGCTATGATCTAGGGATGGCTAGTGCTGGGGGAGGATCATGGCATCAAGACCTTGTTGGAGGTACAGTCTCTCTGTGTCTCTTTCTCTCCCCCCTTGTCTCAGTCTTTCTCGCTCATGGAATACATAAATAAACTTTAAAAAATAATCATAATCCTCAGGCCAGCCAAGTGGTTTGGCGGTTAAGGCAGTAGGATCCCACATAGCTGACTTTACAGTTCAAGTCTCAGACCCAGCAGCTTGAAAAACACGCTGGGCACATGTGCATACATGACCAAAATCCCGAGAGAACGGAGGAGGGAGTGCGGCATGGTCATCCATCTCCCTTACGGGGTAATTTCTCACTTTCTCCCTCTGACAAGTGCACACACTCTATAGCAAATTAGAAAACAAAACAGAAACTAAAATAAAAACACCCTAATAACACATCAGAGTGATTTTTTAAGAATTATTTTATTTAACTTTATTTATTCATTTGTTTATTTCAATTTGACCAGAGAAGGACAAAGAGAAAGAGAGAAAGTACATGAGAAAGTAAGCCGCCAGGTCCACGGCTCAAACCGCTGTCGGCCATGTGGGAATCCAGTGCCTTTAACTACCATGTCAACTGCCAGCCTCATAAGACTGATTTTTGTAAAAAACTTATTTTGCCAGAGGGTATGTGCACTCAACAGAAAGACAGAGAGAGAAATGGAAAGTAAGAAAGTATCCCCTGTGTGGTATGGGCATACCACAAATCCTTTCTCCATTTCTCCCTTCTTTTGGGATTTTTGGGTACACGTACATATGATTGCGTTTCTCTCAAGCCTTTGGGTCTGGAACTCAGACTACACAGTTAGCCATGTGGGATCCAGCTGCCTTCATTACCATTCCACCTAAATGCCTCTTTAAGAACATTTACAAATTTTTACCTTTCCTTTTTTTTTTTTTTTTTTTTGGTAGGTTAGAACCATCAGAGAGCCTTGAGGAAAACCAGCGGAATCTCCTTCAGATGACTGAAAAGTTCTTCCATGCCATCATCAGTTCCTCTTCAGAATTTCCCCCTCAGCTTCGAAGTGTGTGCCACTGTTTATACCAGGTATGTGTAAAGTTAGGGATTCCTATTATTAATCCAATACTAAAATTAAGAAAAATATTTTACTAATGATGGATTTGGCTACTGATACTGGGTGGTTGACTATAGTACCGAACCAATTTGGATGAATAATACATTAAGAATTGTTGGTTGGGCCAGCAGGTGACTGGGAGGTTAGGGCATTGGATTTCACATGGCTGGCTGCACATTTTGAGTCCTGGACCCTGGCGGCTTGAGAATCACAGCAGGTGTATGCATGCGTGCCCAAAATCCTGAGAGGAGACTGGAGGAGAAGGGATTGCTGTGTAGCTATCCCTCCTGTAGGGGGTGATCTCTTGCTTTCCCTCTTTCTCTGGAGGACACATGTACCCTATGACAAAAACTAAAAAAAGAAAAAAAAGAATTGTTGGAATTGACTTGGAAAGAAATTGAAATATTGCTTAGGAGACAGTTCGAAGTGCTATAAGAGAATACTTTATTAAATTTTCCTGATGTTAGGAGCAGAATGTATTGGATCTGTTTGGTATAATGAATGTGGCTGAAATGAGATATATTGTGACACTTTCGGTTTTTTCGCCTGCGTGACTTACAGGGTCTCCACACATGAGCGGTCTACTACTTGCTTGTGAATTGTTCAATTTCTAATTTTGTTTTTCTTTATTGAAATTTAGTTGGTTTGTGTCAGATTTTCCCAGGACAGACTATTTTATGTAGAATGCTACTTACAAGATATGTTGCATCATCATTCAGACCAAATTATTAGACTTCCTAACAGTCGTGCTTCAAGCCATGCTTCTGAGTTCAGGTGTCCACAGTCATTCTTGTCGGGGGAATTAGGTCTGTGTTCTTTCATGGCTTTTATGTGTTTCTGAATTGCACGTGCAGCTTTAGGAATGATCTGTTTATTCTGAGGGAGGTCTTGCAAATTTACATGAACCTTTTGTAAACCATGATTCTGGAAGAGACATTAGTGGGTCTGGGGTTTGGGGTGGGGGGTGGGTACAGAGAAGAAACACTTTACCAAAACCCATGCCTTTATGTTTCTTCTTTGCAAAGTCATCTCTAGCCATTTGGGGTTTTTTTTAGCACAAGGCTTCTGTTGCTTAGAAACATTAACAGCCTCAGTGAAATCACCATTTGTAAAAGCTGTTTGAAGCTATTCTGTGTGAATTTTTCCCCTTGATATTTTTAAAGATATATCTGCCGTATCTATAAAAAACTTTTCACAACATACGTAGATTGTACAGCATACTTAGCATTAAGTCTCTGTTAATTTATCACGATTTCTCTGCCTTTTAAAAAATCTCAAGGAAGCGTATTAGGAAAACCTCACATAATTTTGTTTATTTATTTATTCCATGAGTGGAAGAGATAGAGCAACAGATAGACAGTACATCCAACAACATCTTCGTGGTGCTCTTCAGTCCCCAGCCAGTCCAGATCATGGACACACAATGCCTGGGGTTCTCAGGGAGATCCTGGACTAAAACTGGCAACCATCCCACCCAGGTGGATCTGCCTTGAAGAACTTTGTGTTTTACCACTGCACCACCGTCCATACTCCCCTCACCACTAATTTTGTCAGCTAGTTAAACCTGAGGCCAGAGGCTGCTTGTTATAACCGGAAACTTGATAATGTAGTGAGTAGTATCTTAAGTTCGGGCCTTATCCAAGTTTCTCTACATCTAAGTCAGGCGCCAGCCCTATGGCACAGTTAAGCCTATGCATAGGGAGCTGGATCCCACATGCCAACTGGTTGGAATACCATCTCCAGTCCTGATCCTAGTGGCTTGAAAAACACACTCAGTTTGTGTGGCCGTCTAAAATCCTGACAGGATGGAGAAATGAAGGAAAAAGGACTGTAGCGTGACCACACCCCATTGGGGGGTTACTTTCTCACTCTCTGTCTCCATTTCTCTCTGGTGAGTGCACATGCCCTCTGGCGATTTGAATAAATAAATAAACAATACACATGCATGCATACATACATACATGGCCTGGGTCAACTTTTTGGTTAGCCTGTTAGTAATTGTTTTTAGAGAGTAAACTAGGTTTCTAAAATACAGTTTTAGCTAGTTAAAGGTGATTGATGACAAGATGTAGTAGATTTTAGTAGGAATTCTTCATTTGATTTTCATCCTGAAAGAAAAATCTTTTTATATCATCAGCAAAGTTGGAGAACAGTTTGAGACTATGATTTTGTTAGTGTAAAGGAACAGGACTAGCACTTAGCAAGTACTTAGGAAATACTTAATGAAGGAATACATTTCCTATTTTTCCTATCCAAGTGAATAAGATTCTTGCCAGCTTTCCATAAGAAGGGAAGGAAATAGTGAAAATAGGGCCAAGTGACAGTTGGTAGCTATTAAGCACCATGTATTGTGCTTTATATAGCACTTTATAATTATCCTGTATTTTCTTAATAACTGACCTATCGTATTAAAATTTCACATGAAATTATTCTCTTTAAAAACATTATTTAAATGCTGTGTCAGTACATTGTTGTGAAGTACGAATAAACAAAATTGTTGGAAGAGTAGAATTACTATGGTGCAAAGATAGGTTATTTTTACATAAGGTTTTGTTTTTAATTAAGTGACCAATGGAGAATTTTACATTCACGAATTAAAAAGAAAGAAAAGCTTTGATCTCAAGTTATCCTTACATTGAATTTCCTTCCAAGCCTAGTTTTTCCCTTTGATTTGTTCTTTTGTTTTCATTCCTTGCCCTTTTGACTTTGGCAGGAATATAATGGCACCTTTGTGCTTTTATATTCTGGTGGGAGGGATAGTAGTTGATTGTTTGAGGTTTTGTTTTGTTTTTCCTCCTCTATATCAAACATGGGTCCTGATTTGGGACTTACTAGGGAAATTTTGAAAGCTTAAGTTGAATATACTGCTAGCTAATAAACTCCTCTGAGCTTTTGCTCTCTGTTCTTAAATGTGTATTTTGGCCTTTAAGCCTTTTAAAATCACAATTCAACTAGCTTGATTACTTTATATGCTTTCCTTACTTGGTGGACTGGGTTAAGAAATAGCAAATGGTGAACTTATTTACAGTTAAGTCATTTTCTCGTGAATTTGTTTCTATTCTTCTTCCTGATAGTTTTAGAATAAAGAGAAAATAATTCCCAGAATAGATACTGTCTTCTGTTACTGCGAGAGAATTCTGAGAAAAGCTATTATGATTCTAAATAAATACTATATTTTCCCAGTAAACTTGCTTCTCCAAACTGAAATAGTTTACACACAATTTATAAGGCTATAAATTACACTTGTATACCATAATTGAAAAAAAGGTATAAAACTACATTTTTGTAATATATATGGTTACTAGTGCTTTTGTATATAGTCTAAAGTTTGAACCAACACTGTGTGAGATAAGAGACCCTGTCTTCTTGCTCCATTGCTGTTCCCCAATGCCTAAAATGGCATCTAGCATTTTGGTGCACATTAACTGCTTGGATGGATGGATGGATGAATGGATGGATGGATGGACGAATGGACTAACTTTAAGTTCAAGTTATGGGTTATAGTATGGAAAGCCCAGAATTCCTGGAATAATATGCATATATTGGTGGATTAAAGAATTCTAATTTGGTTTAAAAATATATTTAAAATAACTGTCTGGACTAGTCCAATGAGGAGTCTTGATTTTGGAAGAATTTTTTGGCCTGGAAGGAGCTCTGAGAGATGAAACCATTATTTATTTATTTATTTATTTTTTTTTTTCCCTAGGGGAGGCAGTGAGGAGACTTTTTTTTTTTTTTTAAAGGCATTATGACAAATGGTCAACTGTAATACATGAAGTTTTAAGCTGATTTGAAGCTTTATTCTGTAATTTCAGTTTTTTTTCACATTAATATTATTGGGTTGTCAGAAAAGTCATGACACATTTTAAAACAATCCAGTAAGTAATTTTTTTTTTCTAGTTGAACTGAGAACTTCCAAATCTTGCAGTGATTTTAACCTCCTATACTTAGAACCCTTTCAGGAAGTAGCCTACAAACTTTGAAAAATAAGTGAAATTTAGACAGTAATCTTCTTTAAGAGAAATATTTTAAATTCAGAACTTATAAAGTGAATTTTTCTTTTATATTTAGCCACTTAATTTTTGTTTCTTTAGTCAATAGGATCTTAATTAAATGTCAGACGTTGGGGGGAGGAAAGCTAAGTCAATTGAAGGATACACAGAGAAGTATTTTCTATATCAGGAAAAAATTATGTAGACACATATTTTTAGTGTGTGGTCTACTTGTAATGAACATTTTTATGTAAAATTTATCAAAAGCTAGGAATGAACTAAAATGTAAAATATTTTATATCCTCAAATTCACTTGGCGAGAGCTTTTCTGTGATTCATAGCCAGAAATAGTAGACATGATTGGGTCTCAACATTTCTTGCTGTTTATTTAGTGCTTGGCTTAAAAATGTAATAAAATTAAGATGCAAAATTAAAATTCATCCCTCAAAATTCAGTTGATGTGTAATTTGTGCTGATCCCATTTGTGTTACATTTTACCGTGTTAGCTTATGTACCAGCCAACAGTGTTCTTGTTGCTGTGTGTAGTCAGTGCTGTGACTTGTTTGTGCTCATCTCTGTTCTGTAGGCAACTTGCCACTCCCTACTGAATAAAGCTACAGTAAAAGAAAAAAAGGAAAGCAAAAAATCAGTAAGTTTGGAGAACTTTTTATTAGCTGTCTCTTTCAAAGCAAAACAAAAATCTTTTGCTGTTTGTTAAGAACATCTTCACTTCAGCCTATTTGACCTTCACTGTAAAATCATTCTACTAATTCTGGCACAAAATAGCTTCATTTCAATTAACCCTGGAATTAAGTTACATTGAAGCATTCTCTGTGTTCCTTTGGTTTGATTTATCCCAAAGGCATTCTGTGGGCATTTGTTGCATTTGGATATCTCTGGTCTAATTTTATCACTGTTATTTTCAAATCATAAATAAATGCAAAGGAAACTTAATTTCAAGGCCTTAGGAAATGCTGACTCTTCATCCTTGCTTCTTGTTTGCAGGTAATGTGAATGATTTCTTTTCCTAGAGGTGAACCGTTTTTTTCTTAATTGTTAGAAGTCTATGGCAAGAAAGTATCAGTTTCTAAATCTCACCTGAGGTTTGCTGAATTTGATTGCTTATTCCTTATATTTTCACCTAGACATTCTCAGCCAGGTTTAGATGTTTGTGCCTAGATTATATTGTAGAAATACTTAGGGTAAAATCACCTCAGAGAAAACAGTATGAAATGATGGAGATGAAAACAGTAGTTTTGAAATAAAAGAAAGCTCAGTGCATCTGTTTCTGTAGAGAAACACCTCGTTTTGTAAACACAGTATGAATATTACTGCCTGCTTCTGTAAACTTGCCCTAATTTAGTGAAGGAAGAAAATTATGATAGTCATAATTATTTTCTACCAGTGACTAGAACTGGTCCAAAATATAACATGCCTTTATTTTAAATTTGCCATTATATGTCAGTTTGACTTCTCATTATCAGGCCAAGTCAGTTCTTTGTTCATATAACCCAAATAATTGTAGAGAAAGAGGTAGAGAAAACTTTTAGGAGACAGGTAGTTTTCTTGAGAAGGTACACTTTGGATTAGTGTTCATCTGGTTTCATCTTTCATTCTTCGTCTAAGCTTTACCTATAATAAAGCTTTAAGTTTTACATGTAAATTTCCAAGTTCATAATAACTAAATTAAAACGTAAAGAGATATACTTTTATTTTGTTCATTCAACATATTTTTTTTAGTATGTTAAGAAAATTTGGTTAGCTGTGAGCAAATGGATTGGAATGGGTGGTCTTGCCTAATAAAGTCATTTCTTTCTAATGCTTTAGCCTTTAATTCTCAGCATATGTGGGCTTAACATAATATTCACCATCACTGTTGAAATTAAATTGCTCTTTCTAACACTCTCATTCAGTCATACTAATGCCATTGTGTAGTGTCTCACATTAATTAAAATCCAGGCTTTCTCCATGTTTCTCTAGAGCATGTTTTCTAGCCTTCCTAACATTGCTTTATTTATTAAGATTTTGTCTAAAATTGTTCTTTGAAAAAAATTTTTTTTAATATAGAGTTACTTTCAGATTTTTTGTTTAAGTTTTCTGGATGTGACACTCAATTTCAGAATGTATTTCTCAGCACAGGTGATGTAAGGTCCTCGTGGATACAGGGGGAATCTAATTGGTAATGTGGGATACTTGAGAGGATATTCCAAAGTATGAAGGCAGTATAGTCAGTATAAATTTAAAATCCCATTTTAAGTTTATGCCGTTTTTGAGTTTCACTTAATAGAATTTAATGATCTTCTAAGAGTAAGCTTTCTTTTGTGGTATATGTATCACAGATTGGAATATGTGAAATACAGAGTATAGGTTCTAGCTTCTGGTGTGTAGTATGTAGCCATATTACAAATAATGTTGTTTATTTTACTCAAACTTTTTTTTTTTTTTTTTTAGGTTTTTGCCACAGGGTGCATGTGCTTGCCAGGCAGAGAGAGGGGGAAAGTGAGAAATCACCCCCTGGGAGAATGGCCATGCTGCCAACAGTTTCTCCTCCATCCTCCACTTGGATTTTGGACATGTACACACACGTGTCTGGTGTGATTTTCAATCCATTGGGTCCAGGACTTGAACTGCGGTCAGCCATATGGGAGTCTAGTGCCTTAACCACCAGGCCTCTGGCTGGCCCCATTCAAACATAATTAAATTTACTTTGTTAATTAATTTTTGCCTAATTAAGGGAGGATTTGCAGTAATTAATCATATATGGGTAGTGATCTTTTTGCCAGTGTTTATGATTGCATTTATTTGCCTCACATAGTTCAGTTTTTACCAAGGGAAATAAAGAGAACATTTCCCTAATAACTGATTTCAACACATAGCCTGTCCCAACTTTTACCTGTTACACAGAATGTCTTTGGGATCTAAATTATATATTTATGGATTAAAAATACAACAACGCTTGAATACGTATATATTATGAGGTAAGATTACATCAATATCAATTAGTAGAGAAAAAAGCTTTCTATAAAGTGACTCATGGAACTTGTTAGATAACATGTTTATTGATGTTATGTTTTATCAGCCTTCAGTTCTAAAAATATATTGATACTATAATACCATCAGTGAATTACATATCTATGTGTTATGTGAAACAACATAGGTTTTTGAGTTGTGAGTATTTTGGGTTTAGCATGAGTTACTTTTGATGTGGAAGATAGTGAAACCGTAGTATTTTTCATAAAGTTTGCAATATTCTTTTTTTGGTAATAATTTACTACGGTTAACTTCTGAGTCTAAATACTATTACATATAAATTGGATATAAATGTAAGTCACACTTTAAAACTTCTTTGTCCCAGAGAAAACCAGTTAACAGCTACTTTTAAAAAACATATTTTAAGAGAGCTCTCTATTTGCATGTCAGTTACTGGTTTTTCTGAGCCACTTAATAAACTAACTGGTTCTTAAAAAAACAAACTATGACTTTGAGCTCTTTAAAAATGATTTCAGGATTTTTATGGATTAAACTGAATACATGCTAATTCTTTTAAAACAACCTATTTAAAATGAGGTAAAGGTGGTTTTTAAGTTTTTTTCTCTTGTTAACTCATTTTATAAAGGCCTTAAGATCATCTAGGTTTATTGATGTTTTGTTTAAGATTAAAATGTAATATTTTAAGAGAATTACTCATAGCAGTGGTTATAAATATTCTGAAATTGTATAAAAATTTTTGTGTGAGTGCATATATTCATTTTCTAACTTTTTCTCAGATTTCAAAGAGGTATGTAGTCCCCAAAAGATTAAACACTGTGCTGAAGTAATGAAAGCACTCGAATATTCTCCTTAATCCTTTATCTAAAACTGCCCTTTAGCCAAAAAATAAACTGTAGGTTTTAAGGACATACTATTTAGACAGTACAGTTAACTACCTTTACCTATTTCTCCTTAGTTAAGTGTGAAGTTGCTCCTCATGCTCTAACACAAATAAAGCTTCCTGAGCTGTGTAATGTATGTGAAGGTTCATGGAAAACGTGTGTTATGAGAAAACTAGGCATGGATTTCAAAATTGTTTGCACCAAATACACCTGTACTTTTTTTAGAGAGAGAGATTTTTGCTATAGGACGTGTGCACTTGCCAGAGAGATAGAGACAGAAAGTGAAAAATCCCCCTAGTCCCTTCTCCTCCAATCTCCTCTTGGGGTTTTGGGCATGCATGCACACATGCCTGGTGTGAGTTTTAAGCTGCCAGGTCCAGGACTCGAACAAAAGTCAACTACATGTGAGTCCAGCAATGTAATCATTATGCCATCTGCTGGTCCCTAAATCTGTACTTTTACTTCATTTTTCTGCGAACTTTTTGAAACCTCTAGTATATTATTACTTACTTCCATAATCACTTCCTACGAAGATTTTCTTAAGCTTAAGTCTTTTTCTAAAATGGTATTTTTACTAATATTTTATCAGAAATGATAGAAAATTATATTGTGATTATAGACATTGGATAGAAGCACATATAAAAGGTGGACCACATGAAGCACTGAATGGAACAGATAGAAATGATACGATTATTATTTTCAGAGTTAATTTGGAATCGGTGAGTCGAGTGAATTCATGACAAGAAGTATTTTTTAATTGAGGCATTGTGAAGAATACTAGTTATGTGGGATTCTGCACATTCATCCCATTTTCTCATTTCTCCCTCATTATCCTTTGAAATGGAGGGTTATCCCTGACGTTGCAGAATATTGAGTAGAATGCTAGTTCAAAGTGCTTTGCCTTTGAACTCAGGGCTACTTTTAACAGCCACACTGAGCAAGAATAGCTGTAGAGATTAAAATGTTACCTAAGTATTCTTTAAAAATAAGTTTAATATGCCTAATATGTAGAGGGAAAATGTGGTATTCAAAATAATACACTTTTCATATGTTAACTTAATAGGGGATACTGGGAAGAGATGGGAGCTGAGCCAGTTTGACAACACTTTTTCCAACCTGAGTACCTATTCCTTTATCTTAAATATAGAAATTTTTTTAAAAAAGAGAAACTAAATCCTTTTTAAACATTGAGTTTACATTGCTTTTAGGGTTGGCCAGCCATTTTTGAAGCCTTAAATTTTTATATTTGACAGAATTGTAGATTGAGGTAGACATGGGGTTTTTCTTTTTCTGGTAGGATCCTTTTTTCTTTTAGGTCCCAAGGATTCCTATCCTTTCATGCTGTAAGTAGTAGGTAGGTCTTTCTGTTATAACGCATGCTGATGAAGAAAAGGAACTGGCAGTAACATTACTTGTAAGTAAATTTTTTCTCTTAGTGGGAATCTAAGAAAAAAGGTGTTTTTTTGTTTGTTTGTTTGGGTTTTTTTTGTAACGGCAAGCATTTTTCTCAAAAAATTCAATTATACTTGGTACAGAACAAAATATAAATAATAATTATTTGATACAAGATCTTTCAGGAGTGTGCTGTTGAAAACTTAGCTTTGCCTTGTAAGAGTTGACTTCACTTTCATGACTATTAATCTTAGTAAAATATGATTTTGTATGAAATTTGGTCTGTTTTCATTACTTATCAAACCTGTAGTGTAAATGATAATGACAAAATAAAATTTTTTTTCAGGTCTCTACACAACTCGTCAGTGAGGTTTTTATTTCTTCTGAGATAACGTAATTGTGCTTTAAAACGATGTAAGACTAGAATTGTGGGCGAACTTTGTTTTCTAAAAATAATAGGAATCTGTCATTCATGAGAATTGATTTATTGAGGCTTTTGGCGAAAGACCTTTGAGCTCTCTGCTCCTGTCTCTTCAGTTCCAACCTTACTCAGCTCTCCACTCCTTGTTTTTAGGTGGTTAGCCAGCGTTTCCCTCAGAACAGCATCGGTGCGGTAGGAAGTGCCATGTTCCTCAGATTTATCAATCCTGCTATCGTCTCACCATACGAAGCAGGGATTTTAGATAAAAAGCCACCACCAAGAATTGAACGGGGCTTGAAGTTAATGTCAAAGGTGAATTATTTTGATAATCTACCTATTATAAATTTTTTTCAACTACATTTTCAGTTTTTCATAATCAGTTCTTCCTCTTAAATTTATTTTTGAAATGTTCTGTGATTTCCACTTACGTGCTTTTGTTTTATTTTGCTTCAATTACAAAAGAATTTATTAGGCCTCGTACCTTAATCAGTCTTATTATTATGGGAAAATATTTTAGCAAACGTTTTATATTCTTTTTTTTTTTTTAAGAATTATTTCATTTAACTTTATTTATTTTCATTTGACTGGGGGGTGGGGAGGGAAAGTGAGAAAACAAGTGCCAGGTCTGGGACTCAAACCACGGTCAGCCATGTGGGAGTCCAGCACCCTTAACCACTATGCCACCTGCTGACCCCAAATGTTTTCTCTTACGAAGACAGTTTTTTTGTGTAATTGTTCTGAAGATTCTGAAACAGAGACCAAATGTAAACTGTAGGGTTTTTGTTTGTTTGTTTGTTTAAAACAATGTTTAAATTTTTTTTTTTTTTTGGAGAGGTTTTTGCCATAGGGCACGTATGCTCGCCAGACGGAGACAGACAGACAGAAAGCGAGAAATCACCCCTCAGAGGGGATGGCCATGCCACAATCCCTTCTCTTCCATTCTCCTCTTGGGATCTTGGGCATGCTGCACCCGGCGTGAGTTTTAAGCCACCGGGTCCAGGACTCGAACTGCAGTTGACTACATGGGAGTCCAGCGACATAGCCATTATGCTAACTGCTGGTTCCCGATGTTTAAATTTTTAATTTATGTTTTTACATACATAGTTATGTTGTATTTATACTTTAAAAAATAATTGGTTTTAACCACTGATAGAAACTATAATATATTGGGACTAACAGACAGTGTAATGGTGAAATGGCTACATCGCTGAACTCCCACATAGCTGACTGTGGTTCTAGTCCCGGACCCGGAGGCTTGAAACTCATGCCAGGTGCATGTGCGCATGTGCCAAAAATCCCAAGAGGAGAATGAAGGAAAAACTCCCAAGAGGAGAATGAAGGAGATGGGATTGCAGGGTGACCATTCCCCTAAGGAGCGATTTTTCCCTTTCTGTCTCTCTGTCGAGCACATGCGCCCTATAGCAAAAATCTCTCTCAAAGAAAGAAAGAAAGAAAGAAAGAAACTACAATTATCAGTGAGAAAGTTTATGTAATAAATAATATGATTGTTTATTACACTGTTTTCTGTTTAGATCCTTCAGAGTATTGCCAATCATGTTCTCTTTACAAAAGAAGAGCATATGCGGCCTTTTAATGATTTTGTGAAAAACAACTTTGATGCAGCACGCAGGTAAGTAGCCTGCCACGTAGTCTCTTGTTCTGAGTTACATATTTTCAGTATTACATAAGTCCACGTACCTGGTCTACATGAAGCTCCTTGTGTAGGTTTTTTTCTTTTCTCTCTCTAGGTCAAGAACATAGTTTGTGGGAACCAGCAGTTAGCGTAATAGCTATGTCGCTGGACTCCCATGTAGTCGACTGTGGTTCGCATCCAGGACCCGGTGGCTTAAAACTCACGCTGGGCGCGTGTGTGTGCGTGCCCAAGACCCCGAGAGGAGAATGGAGGAGAAGGGATTGCGGCGTGACCATCCCCCGTGGGGGGTGATTTCTCACTTTCTGTCTCTATGTCTCTCTCTGTCTGTCTGGCGAGTGCACGCGCCCTAAAGCGAAAACCTCTCCAAAAGAAAAAAAAGAAAGAAAAGAAAAAAAAAAACCAAAACATAGTTTGTCTTATTTTATTTGACTATATAAGAGAGTTGTTGGGGGGGCAGCAGATGGTGGAGTGGTTGTTGTAATACAGAGGCAGAAAAGGAGATTCCCTCTATTAAAAACTAAACTGGTGGGGCCAGCAGATGGCATGGTGGTAAATTAAGACAGCTGTATTCCCACCGTGGTTCGAGTCTCAGACCTAGTGACTTTAAAGTCACACCAGACACGTGTGTGTATGCCCAAAGTCCTGGGAGGAGAATGGAGGAAAAGGGATTGGGGCACAGCCATCCTCCTGAGGGATGATTTCTCACTTTCCTTCTCTCTGTCTGTCTCCTTTCTGGCAAAAACCTAAAAAAAAAAAAAAAAAAATTGATGTGGTTAATGTAGAATAGCACATAATTAGAATCTTGTTGGTTATATATGAAGTCTGGTCCTTGCTCTGACCTAACAGCCTGTGTCTTCTAAATCTTGCTCTCTGTTCAGAGCCTGCTCTGAAGCTAAAGCCAGGTATCAGAAATGGAAAGCCAACGTTCTCTTCTTTCTTCTTGCTTTGTTTAATGTGATAGTCAGATTGTGTGAAGAAACGGTCTATATTTGTAATTTCAGTTACTTCACATTGGTTTAATTGAAACATATCACGAGTGTATCTGGTGTTGAAAATTGGAATGACTTTACATTTTGAAGGTTTTTCCTTGATATCGCATCGGATTGTCCTACAAGTGATGCGGTGAATCACAGTCTTTCCTTCATCAGCGATGGCAATGTGCTTGCTTTACATCGTCTGCTCTGGAACAATCAAGAAAAAATTGGCCAGTATCTTTCTAGCAACCGGTAAGATTGCCCCGTCATGGGTATGTCGAACACTCTTAGTTTAAATTTTTATTAATAAAATTGTTGTCATAATGCTTTTCACTTTGCATTTTCTTAGAGTAAGAATTATAGGTAGGAAAAAAAAGTATAGATTCTTTTAAAAAATATAGATAAAAGGATAAGTCTCTTTAAATAATCAATAAGCCTACCTCCTTTTAATGTCAAATTTAGAAATCACATATTAGCACTTTGGATTTTTTCTCATTTGCAGACTGTCAAACAGTGTACAAAAAGACTCAGAAAATTTTAAATGTACTAGAAGATCAAATGAATATTTGCATTTAAATCTGAAGAACAGATAATTCTTAAGCTAATAATTAAAACATTGCCAATTTTTAAATTCTGTAAGAAGCCTATTTATGATACATTAGATATATACAAATAAAGTTTTATATTGAAAGTGCTTAGTGGGGCTGGCATGTGGCATGATAGTTAAAGGCACTGGATTTCCACATGGCTGACTGCAGTTTGAATCCCAGACTTGGCGGCTTGTTTTCTCCCTTTCCCTTTCTCTGAAGAAACTACAATTATCAGTGAGAAAGTTTATGTAATAAATAATATGATTGTTTATTACACTGTTTTCTGTTTAGATCCTTCAGAGTATTGACAATCATGTTCTCTTTACAAAAGAAGAGCATATGCGGCCTTTTAATGATTTTGTGAAAAACAACTTTGATGCAGCACGCAGGTAAGTAGCCTGCCACGTAGTCTCTTGTTCTGAGTTACATATTTTCAGTATTACATAAGTCCACGTACCTGGTCTACATGAAGCTCCTTGTGTAGGTTTTTTTCTTTTCTCTCTCTAGGTCAAGAACATAGTTTGTGGGAACCAGCAGTTAGCGTAATAGCTATGTCGCTGGACTCCCATGTAGTCGACTGTGGTTCGCATCCAGGACCCGGTGGCTTAAAACTCACGCCGGGCGCGTGTGTGTGCGTGCCCAAGACCCCGAGAGGAGAATGGAGGAGAAGGGATTGCGGCGTGACCATCCCCCGTGGGGGGTGATTTCTCACTTTCTGTCTCTATGTCTCTCTCTGTCTGTCTGGCGAGTGCACGCGCCCTAAAGCGAAAACCTCTCCAAAAGAAAAAAAAGAAAGAAAAGAAAAAAAAAAACCAAAACATAGTTTGTCTTATTTTATTTGACTATATAAGAGAGTTGTTGGGGGGGCAGCAGATGGTGGAGTGGTTGTTGTAATACAGAGGCAGAAAAGGAGATTCCCTCTATTAAAAACTAAACTGTTTATTTGACTATATAAGAGAGTTGTTGGGGGGGCAGCAGATGGTGGAGTGGTTGTTGTAATACAGAGGCAGAAAAGGAGATTCCCTCTATTAAAAACTAAACTGGTGGGGCCAGCAGATGGCATGGTGGTAAATTAAGACAGCTGTATTCCCACCGTGGTTCGAGTCTCAGACCTAGTGACTTTAAAGTCACACCAGACACGTGTGTGTATGCCCAAAGTCCTGGGAGGAGAATGGAGGAAAAGGGATTGGGGCACAGCCATCCTCCTGAGGGATGATTTCTCACTTTCCTTCTCTCTGTCTGTCTCCTTTCTGGCAAAAACCTAAAAAAAAAAAAAAAAAATTGATGTGGTTAATGTAGAATAGCACATAATTAGAATCTTGTTGGTTATATATGAAGTCTGGTCCTTGCTCTGACCTAACAGCCTGTGTCTTCTAAATCTTGCTCTCTGTTCAGAGCCTGCTCTGAAGCTAAAGCCAGGTATCAGAAATGGAAAGCCAACGTTCTCTTCTTTCTTCTTGCTTTGTTTAATGTGATAGTCAGATTGTGTGAAGAAACGGTCTATATTTGTAATTTCAGTTACTTCACATTGGTTTAATTGAAACATATCACGAGTGTATCTGGTGTTGAAAATTGGAATGACTTTACATTTTGAAGGTTTTTCCTTGATATCGCATCGGATTGTCCTACAAGTGATGCGGTGAATCACAGTCTTTCCTTCATCAGCGATGGCAATGTGCTTGCTTTACATCGTCTGCTCTGGAACAATCAAGAAAAAATTGGCCAGTATCTTTCTAGCAACCGGTAAGATTGCCCCGTCATGGGTATGTCGAACACTCTTAGTTTAAATTTTTATTAATAAAATTGTTGTCATAATGCTTTTCACTTTGCATTTTCTTAGAGTAAGAATTATAGGTAGGAAAAAAAAGTATAGATTCTTTTAAAAAATATAGATAAAAGGATAAGTCTCTTTAAATAATCAATAAGCCTACCTCCTTTTAATGTCAAATTTAGAAATCACATATTAGCACTTTGGATTTTTTCTCATTTGCAGACTGTCAAACAGTGTACAAAAAGACTCAGAAAATTTTAAATGTACTAGAAGATCAAATGAATATTTGCATTTAAATCTGAAGAACAGATAATTCTTAAGCTAATAATTAAAACATTGCCAATTTTTAAATTCTGTAAGAAGCCTATTTATGATACATTAGATATATACAAATAAAGTTTTATATTGAAAGTGCTTAGTGGGGCTGGCATGTGGCATGATAGTTAAAGGCACTGGATTTCCACATGGCTGACTGCAGTTTGAATCCCAGACTTGGCGGCTTGTTTTCTCCCTTTCCCTTTCTCTGTCTGTCTATCTGATCAAATTAAAATAAAAAATAATAACAAATGAAGTTAAATAAAGAAATAATTCTTTAAAGAAAAGTATTTAGTAATTTAAATATTAATTTTATTGTTTCATTCTTTTTTTTTTTTTTTTTTGGAGAGGTTTTTGCTGTAGGGTTGATGCGCTCACCAAAAAGACACAGAGAGACAGAAAGCAAGAAATCGTCCCCCTGGGGGATGGCCATGATGCATTCTCTTCTCCTCCATTCTCGTGCCTATGTGCCTGGCATGAGATTAAACCACAGAGTCCAGGACTCGAACTGCAGTCGACTACATGGGAGTCAGTGACATAGACATTATGCCAACTGCTGGTCCCAGGTTTTTGTTTTTGTTTTTATTTTATTTTATTTTATTTTTATTTTTTGGAGAGGTTTTTGCTATAGGGCGCGTGCGCTCGCCAGACAGACAGAAAGAGACAGAGAGACAGAAAGTGAGAAATCACCCTCCAGGGGTCATGGCCATGCCGCAATCCCTTTTCCTCCATTCTCCTCTCAGGATCTTGGGCACACAAGCACACGCGCCTGGTGTGAGTTTAAGCTACCGGGTCCGGGACTCGAACTGCTGTCGACTATGTGGGAGTCCAGCGACATAGCCATTACACTAACTGCTGGCCCTTTAGTTTATTTTTTATGGGAGAGTTTTACTATAGGGCACGTGCACTTGCCAGAGAGACAGAGACAGAGAGAGAGAGACAGAAAGTGAGAAATCACTGCCAAGCAGGGATGGCCATGCTACAATCGCTTCTTCATTCTCCTCTTGGAATTTTGGACATACACTCACATGCCCCAACATGTTTTAAGTCACCAGGTCTGGGACTCGAACCATGGTCAACTATGTGGGAGTCCAGTGATATAACCATTACATCATTTGCTGGTCACTTGTTGTTTTTAACATCTCTCGTAGCAAAATTTTATTGGCTATCTAGGTTTGAATAAGGCTCAGGTTCCTATGTATTAGGAATTCCTTTACAAAGGGAAGATAAGTCTAGATTTTTTTTTTTTCCAGTTTTGTTATAGGAGATGGCGTTGGGGCGGAGAGTTAGGAGGGTAAAAACCATCCTCTAGGGACAACGGCCACACCGCAATTCCTTCTCCTCCATTCTTCTTTAGGGATTTTGGGCATGCACACATACTCACCTAGCTTGATTTTTAGGCCACAGGGTCTGGGACTAGGAGAAATCAGCTGTGCGGAATGGATCTAGCCACCATAACATCCGTGTGTCACCTGCTGGCTCATGTCTCAATTATTTTTAAATTCCATTAAAAATGATTCCTTTTGGGACCACAAATGACGTGGTGGCTAAGGCACTGAATTCCCACATGGCTGATCATGGTTTGAGTCCTGGACCCTGTGGCTTGAAAATACGCCAGGCGCATGTACTTGCATGTACAAAATCCCAAGAGGAAAGTGAAGGAGAAAGGATCATCATGTGGTCAGTTCCCCCAGGGGATGATTTACCACGTTCTCACTTTCCCTTCTCTTTCTCTCACTGTCTTTGGTGAGTGCACAAAGGAGACTATGAAGCTATGGCTAAGCAATTAGGAGATGAGATTTTAAACAAGAGGACATTTTCATTCTTTATGGATGGTTAATGGATTGGAATAAACATGGGCATTACTGCAGCCCCTAAAATAGAAAAATGAAGATATTTTTATTCGTGTGACACCAAAATACACTGTGTCACTGTCTTTCGTTTTTAATTTGGTAGAGGATGCATGCGCTCACTAGAGAGAGAGAGAGAGAGAGAGAGGAAAATGAGAAAGCACCCTTCTAAATGGATGGTCACACCGTAACCCTTTTTCCTTCAGTTCTCCTTTCGGGCATTTGGGTGCGTATGCGTATGTACCCAGCATGGTTTTCAAACTATTGGACTCAGGACTCAAATATTGCATTCGTCCATGTGGCGATTCAGCTGTCTTTTTTTTTTTTTTTTTAAGGAGAGATTGACAGATGAGTTACTATAGTTGGAGACACTCCTCTTTCAATAGTTGGCAATATCCTGCAGGTAGAAAATCGGTAAGGATATAATTGTAGCAGCATCAGTCAACTGGATCTAATCGACATTTATAGACACCTCATCCAACAGTAGCAGAATACACATTTTTCTCAAGCTGACATGGAACATTTGCCAAAAGACCACATTTTAGGTCATAAAACACACCTTGATAAATTTAAAAGACACAGATACCACACAAGTATGCTCTCAGAGCACAATGAAATTAAACTAGAGATAACAGAAAGGACAGATGGAACATCCCCAAATGATTAGAGACTAAAAAATATACTTTTAAAAATAAACATTCTCATTCTGTAATAAATAATAATGCTACTTAAATATATAACACATGAGTCAGTTCCCTAGGAGGGGATCCAGTTCTCTTCACCACCACGCCACTGGTCAGCTCCACCATGGAACTTTCATATGTGAACATTCTTGTCTCTTAAATAATTTACATAGGGACCAGTAGATGGCATAATGGTTACATCACTGGACTCCCACATAGTCGACTGTGGTTCGAATTCTGGACGTGGCAGCTTAAAACACAGGTTGGATTCATGTGCGTGCAGCCCAAAATCCCAAGAGGAGAATGGAAGAGAAGGGATTGCAGTGCGACCATACCCTGGGGTGATTTCTTGCTTCTTTCTCTCTGTCTCTCTGGCAAGCACATTCACCCTATAGCAGAAATCTCTGTTATTTTTTTTTTTTAAAGATACATATATAGTCACAGTCTGATACTAGAGAGTTCTTTTGTTTGTTTATTTTGTTTTTTAAATATCACACAGGCCCAGCTGTGATGGTTTAATCTGTAGGGCACCAGTCTGTGGTGGCTGAGGCTATAAGTGGAAGGCCTGGGTTAGTTCCCAGCCCATGCTGAACAGCCAGGCGTGGTGGTGCCCCAGCAGCTGGCAGGCTGATACACCACCAACTGGTAGGCTGGGGCAGAGAAATCACAATGTGACGAGGTCGAAAGTACGTCCCCCCACCCCATCCCTCATGCGTGCTCTCGTTCTTAAAAAATGATTATAAAAATAAAAAATCATACACACTTCACATGTATAGAAAAGAACTGTACTTTAACAGAGACTCATATCCACCGCCTTTAACTTAGCTTTAACATTATTTAGTTTGCTATATTATTTTCAGATCTTTATAACATTTTATTTTCTGGGGGGAGGGGAAAATACACTTAAATATAGTTAAAGACTTCCTTTTGACAACCCCATTTCTATACTTCTCTCACCACAGCTATTTATACCCTAAAGCCGGTGGGTGTGCTTTCTGGATATATTGTTATACTGTTCAGCCTATTCAAGGGGTCTTCAAAAAGTTCGTGCAAAATGAGTATTATGGAAAGCTGTACATGGATTTAAAATATTCTTTTGCACCAAAATAAACTTGTACTTTAACTCCATTTTTCCATATATATTTTTAAGTCCCTTTGCATAGGTAACTGCCAAAATAAGAAAATTGCAGGTCTGTATAACATGGTTTTATATGGCTTAAAATGTGTATCAGTGATGCAGTGACTATGTCTCCTTCGTGTAACATTCAGTTTGAGATTTAGCATTTATTTAACTCATGTTAGTATTTCAGTGAATGGCAATAATAGTTTCTTTTTGCATTCCTAAATAGATAGCCATTTAGTTTTTTCCCCAGTTTTTCGCTGTCGTAAATAGTAATGTAATAGGTATCTTCATGCACACCTTCTCATTTATTACTTACATGTATGATTGCTGAGTCTGGGATACACCCTGCCTCAACTTCACTAGCTAAATTGTTTTTCAAAATGTGTCATTTTATACTTTGACCACCAGTGTGTGTAAGTTCTGTTTATGCACATCCTCATCACAGTTGGCGTTATTGGATTTAATAATTTTTTCCAATTTGATGTTTGTGAAATAGTATCTTATTAAATAGTTTCACATGTTTAGTAGGTACTAGAAATACATATATCTTTTTTTTGTTGTTGTTAAGCAGAGATCTGATACTGGGCAAAATATCCAATTCCTAAATACTGGCTTCTCAAGGTGAATTTTTGTCACCCTGAGAAAAAATAGATCAGAATGTTACCTTCTTTTACCGATTAAATGATCACTTTAGTGGTAACAGATTATGAATTTTAGAAAAGATGGCCATTTAGTGGTAACAAATTAAGAATTTTATGTAAATTTTATAATTTGGGAAGTCATCATAGTTTCTAAGATGTTTCAGTATATTCCTTTAATTTTTGAAGTCTTTTTGGTGTCATTTACTTATCAGCAGG